TTTCGTATATTTACAAATAAGTAGGCATAGTAAAAACACACAAAGGATTAGGAATAATACATTTTAAAATGTAAAAGTACAACGTAAAAGATAAGAATACATCGCAAAAAGAAAATATACCTACCTACATTTAAACGTGTAATTCTACAACATGTATCATTTAGGTACATTTTTTTTTGTGTAGGTAGGTATAAAAACTATTACAAATATAGGTATAAAAAACCTATGTGAATTTCCACAATTATTCCTCTCTTTTCATGTACCTACCTAGAAGGAGATTTCAGAAGTGCTCAAAATTGTATTAATTTTGATTATCTATTAAGTATCAATTTTATGCGCCGTTTCGCCTTTATTTAAAATGCTTATTATTAACGCATTCTACTCATCATAAAAAATCCTCTCTAAGTTTGTAAACACTCTGTGTATTTTAATCAAACAGGTACTTAAGTATTTGCTCTTCTATTAAGATAATATTAAATCTAAGTGTATATACAGGGTGTAACATAAAGGTTGGGAATAAATTAAACAGTGGATTTTTTATTTTAAAAAATAAATATTTGTCATATAAAATTATGCTCTACGGGTTTTCTTTTCCAAGCTACAGGGTGTTAAAAAATTTCAACAAATTTAGTTTTTTAATATCATTTTCAATGCAAAAATCTTTTTTCAATGCCTATTTCACCATGTTCGGTCAAAGTCAAAGCGTACTTCATAATGCTTTTGTTATTTTTATATTCCTCTGTTAGCAGTGGGATAAAATGGTATTTACAAAAGTTTTATTTACGGAAAAATTACAAGAGCTAGAAATAAAACGCAAGAGGGTAATTTTGTTTAAAATAAAAACTAGATCATAAACAAATATTAAATAGATGTTTTTACCAGTGGCGTACCACAATTTTCTTCGAAAAACCTTATGGTACAATCCGTACGCCCGGCATTGAGTAACTTACAAAGTCAATTGTTTTCCTGTAACTAGGGGATTATCAAATTAAGCTAAGGCTAAAATTTTGTTCCATTATCTTATAATGTTCGAAATTTATTGGAGAAAAACTAAATTTTTTGAAACTTTTTAGCGCCCTGTAGCTTGGAAAAGAAAATCCGTAGAGCATAACTTCATATGAGAAAAAATCATTTTTTAAACCAAATAATCCACCGTTTAATTTATTCCCAACCTTTACGTTACACCCAGTATGTACCTACGTTTTTATAGATATCTTTTCGTGATTGTTTTAAATTAATTGTGCCTACTTCGTACCTCACACTATTATCCTTCTACTTATTTAATCTCGATAACCGCGCATAACGTATCCGTGTAATTCCAAATTACTTCACACTTTTTATCAAACCGCTTTCTATACTTTCATTATTTAAACGCAATTTTTCAACGCGGGCACATTCCTAACCATTACCCACCATTGACTTTTTATGATTCCGTTATTGCTCGTGCCATAACTATTATAAATTCTATAAATAAAATTTGTGTATTGTTCAGTGTTATAAAAATACTTCAGGTTTTTAGGAACAAGGTTACTGTTCTGATCACGTATTGAACTTTCCACTGATGACGGCATGGGTTCTTTGAATCCACCTTTATTTTTCCATTTTAAACATTCATCATCTATATTTAGAAGACCGCAACGTAGTCCTGTTCTTACCTATATATCAATAATATTCTTATAGATGTATCTTACCTATCTTAGGTATAAATTAAAAACTTTTATAGCTAGATACTTTTGGCCCCATTTAAATGGACTGGGTGTTGATGGGTGTTGGCTAAATACTTTTCTGTCTCAGTAACATCTGAAAGTCTAAGTAATACTATAAAAAATATTGTTCTATCAACCAGGATATCGGTATTTAAATATTTAATCCAAACTTAATTAATATCTATATATGAAAAAAAGAAACATAAATACCTATAAGTATAATATGCATATTTTTTCCTTGGCACAGTTGCAAAAAATACATCTAATAGGTACGACTAATATTTTCTGTCCCTGAATACTTGTAAACGGGTGTATTTATGTAAGTATGGGACGTCTATCATGAAGTACTGGAAAAAATTATATTTGGAGCCCGTGGATACAAGATTTTATAACATTTTTACATTTCTATGTAGAAAAAATAGTAAAGACCAATGTTTTAGGAAATTTTCTGCGATTTCAAAAAAATATGTAAAAAAAATTATTGAATTTTGGATTTCAAAAATATAAATAAATAGTTTTTTTTAATGTCGTTCTTTGGATTCCTCTCTTTTTTCTGATTACGATGATATATGAATGTCTTATCTTCCACAATATTTTGGTTTATTTATTAATCCTGATCCTCATCTAGTCAAGATTGCCATGGAACGACTGTGTAGATATATTTTCTGCCGTTGAAGAAAAAATATTTTATTATTAATGGTGTTTTATAATATCTTTATCCTGTTCTAGATAGAGACCATATATTTAAAGTAAGTTTTTTTTTATAGTACCTACCTACTCTGTTATCAGCATCACTAATAGTAATGCTAAACTTGGTGTAATATTTTTTTCCTTGGGCAACATAAATTATTAGGTCTTTATTTTTATCTTTCAGAATCCTTCGCAGAAAGAACTAAGTACATGGAGGTCAAATTAAGACTTTTTGGTGATCATAAAATTATTATCTACTTTATAAGAAAAAGTTAAAAAACGCCTTTTAATATGGTATTTTTTAGTTAGGTAACAAAATAGGTATGTAAAAATATGTAAAGACCTACAATAAATTTAATTGCGGAAAAGCATAAATATGAAGTGGTTTCATTAAGTTAATCCATTATGGAGGGTTGGTAAATAAATCAAAATACTGTGCAAATTGTCAAAACAAATTTATAACATATACATATGTCACTGTAATTCCAAAAAGCGGCAATTCTACAGAGTGTTCTATTAAAAAAACACGTTTGACATCTTTCAAATGCAATAGACAACTGATTTTTTATATATTTTTTGAAATCGCAAGAAATTTTCATAAAACATTGATCTTTAATATTATTCCATAGATAGAACGGTAAAAAAGTAAAGTATGTTAAAACAAATTTATTTGTTTTTATGTAAGCATTATTTTCTATATTATTTTGGTAACATATTGCAAATTACATTTTTTTAATGTGAAGCTCAGTATTAAAAAAAATGTTTGTTTATGTTTTTTAGATGGTATTTCTTGCATGTCTATATCTTGTACAAAATAAAAGAAAGAACAACATAGAAGCGTTAGAAAAAAATAATTTAAGCTTTCTTTGTTATGTTTAATATTGTTATAACACATACCTACCTATCTGTTTTAAAAGTTTGTTTTTACATAAAAATGTTTGCAGTACTTAAACGGTATGATAATATTTCTTATATTGTCAACGTTTAAAAGTTATTTCGAGTTTGCGATCCTTAAAGAACAGTATGAAACCACCTTTGTTAAGAAATGTTTTATTTTAGAAAATTTATAAAATTTCTTTAGCTAAGTATATAAATAAAATAATGCAATTACAAATTTAAAGGGCCTTTTGTTCAAAACGGTTGACATTAAAGAGTAGATATATATTTTTTAAGCAGAAAAGTTGGGGGAAAAGATTTTTCCAGTCCAAAGTGAAATACACCGTGGCACAAAAAGTTTTGGCAGTTTAAATGCGTCCTAATGGTCACTCGGTCGCCCTTTAGCAGATACAACGAAATCGTCGATAAATTCGAATTTCTCATCCCAAAAAACCCCCGGATATGAAATTTCACGAAATTAGCTCGAAGTAGGTAATCGAAAGATATTAAAGAAAATGTTATTTACTTTTTCACCTTCCGCATCCTGTATCTCACCAAGAAAGTACTTTATAGACCGGGAGATATTAGACTGAAGTTCGACGACGTCTTTCTCGTTTATGCCTCTGAGAGTACTGACAGGTAACCGAGAGACAAGTACAATAAACTAAATTTAAAAGATGGACTGAGGGACACCTTTGTGAAAATTTTTAGCATATAGTCCTCACCAGGGACTTATGAACTTTAAAAAAAATGAATACTTTCATTATTTTCTTTGCAATAAGCTTTAATTTATTCACGAGAAAAACGTTGACCAAAACGAAAAATTTTCCGTAGCTTTTCCAAAGCCCTATTTTCTTTAGTCCTTAGTAGGACTTATGCCAATGTTTCTTATGAGCTTTTCGAATATAATGATGTCATATTTCTAATTGGCATTAATGAGAAATTGGTAGACAAATAAAGATGTTTTTCCACATTTTCTTACAAAGTTTTCCATATTTAGGTCTTGCGACACTTATGCCAAAAAAATTTCGTGATAAAATCGATACTTCTCTTCAACTTACGAACATGGCATAAGTGAGAAATACGTCGCTGTACACATTATTTTTTTGAAAAGTAAAATTGAATTTTCACGAAGGTGTCCCGCAGCCCATCTTTTAAATTTAGTTTATTGTACTTGTCTCTCGGTTACCTTTCAGTACTCTCAGAGGCATAAACGAGAAAGACGTCGTCGAACTTCAGTCTAATATCTCCCGGTCTATTAGGCAATCATTTTTTATGAAGTAGGTACCCCTACTAATTTTATAAGTGTTCTATTTGCTGTCGAAGTTTGTAACCTTATTTTTGTTACACCCTGTAGATATGATTAATTATTATGGTTACTGATTTCGTATTTGTGTTCCATTAGTATAATTTGATTTAGTGTATTATAAATTACATTTAAGATATTTATATTCTCATAATTAAAAAAGATCACCATCCTATCTACATATTAAATAATTCTTCAGAGAAACCTTATTAAATATTCTTTGCTTGATTTATATCCTACGTTCCTTTATCTCTAGATATAGCCACTAAAACATTTATGTCCGATTGTTACATATGACGTCAGTAACCGCTAGATGTAATTTTTTTCACCTGAAACGCTAATTATAATTCAGATATTGTCATGATAAACTTGTCTACGCCCATACAGTTCCAAAACACTAAAGCGAATTATTTATTCTGCAGATGTCGCCTCCCAAAGTGACCTGCCAGTGACCCAACAGTGCCTTGGCTGTATTTGTGAAGCCATTTCTGCCTGTAACACCACCAGCGCATGCTCAGGTATGTATAGTGTCTAGTTAATGTTTACTGGAAATAGTAAGTTTGGAAGAAATTCAATTTTTTAAATCTTCGCTGGAGTTGATTGCTGCTCGCATTAGATTTTCTACAGGGTTACAAGGATAACTTGCACAAATTAAATTTTCGTTCATTCAATTGATAGATTAGATAGGTATATCTGTATGTATGTATGTATGTATGTACATCAAAAGGGTTTCGGTTAAATTTTAGCCATAATTTCAAAAAACAATTTGCTAAATACGTTATTGTTATCAGTTTTTTTACCATCTGCTAGAGATCTACTACCGTTTTTCCCTATGATATTTTATGATGTACCTTTTTTTAGGTTAGGGTTTTTTAAAGAATATGTACTCGTATGTATATTTCAATGTAAAATTGTATCAGTATTCTTGCTGATATCTCTGAACACTCCCCGCTTTTGAGAAAATCACTGTCTGTCCCAAAGTCAAGCAGCTACTATTCTTTAATATACAGATGTCCAAAAACGGATGGGCATACTACAAGAGTAGGTTCCCTGGACGAACTGATTTAGATCAAGTTACCTTAGATAATTTTGCTTCCTTAAAAAGTTGCCGGCTTTCGAAAAATTTGTTTAATCCATAACAAAAATTTGTTATGGATTAAGTTAGCTTGATCTAAATTGGTTTATTTTCATCCAAGTAATTTACCCTTCAAGTATGGCCCATTCGTTTCCGGACACCTTGTATATTAAGGAGAAAAAACTGGTTGCCTTTTGGAACAGTCATTTTTTTATATTTCATTGTTTTTTTGGAAGGGGTATGACCAAAATTCGATTTAAAAAATATTTCTTTGGCGCCCATATATTTCAAACACAAAAAGCGGTAAGAAAATGATAAGAATAAGAATAAAATAATAAGAAAATGTCTTATGTTTATAGTAGTTTTTTCTAAAACAACCTGTATATGTATTTTTATTGCGTACTTCTTTTCTTTCCTCGTATAACCCTCATTATTAAAATATACATCCATCAAACCCTATATGAGTACAGTGCATTGGCGGGAGAATATTTTCATATATGTTAAAATACAGGGTGTCCCAAAAAGTTTCAAATATTTGAAAATTTAATAATATACAAGGTGTCCCACTAAGGTAGGTGAGGTACTATATTAGGGAAATTATAGGCCCTAGAGCTTAGGGGGAAAAAGTTATTTCAATAAATCGACCAAGATAAATCGCTGGAAATAGTTTTCATGTTCGTAGCTCGGCCGCAAGGGGGCGCAATCTACGTACCAAAACATAGAATTGAATTTTTCTCAGAAATGTTTCCTATTCAGGTATATTAAATAGTATAAATATGGATAGCCGGATTCATTACGCATAACTTTTGTTATTGACATTTTGTTCTATCTCTCGATAGAAAGGGTAAAGGAAGCCCCTAATGTCTGATCAGAAAAATACATTTTTTTCAGAATTGGCTCATCAAATGCCCATAATGTTATATGTCGTTAGAAAGGTATTTTCATGCATTATCTCGTGGTGATTGCATAATGTCATTTACTTCAATGTGGAAACCCATAGACAGCGTTATTGCAAAAGAATGCCGTTTTCTATGAATTCAGCATAAAAAAATTGATGAATAATAGCATAAGTTTGAAATTTTTAACGAGTGTTTTTCATTAAAATTGTTTTTTAAGTAGCTTTCTTGTATCATCTTGTACTACTTAAATCAGATATTAGCAAAAACATTTCCATTCTCAAAATAGAAAAATTATTGTAAACTTCAGACTCACATTCTGTATTCTTATATAATATTATACCTATAGAATATTAATAGTTCTATTCTTATTCAAATTTGACACTTCAAAATAGTTACTTTCTATTTTTGAAGATGAAATTAACCTAAGTAGATATTTATTTAATGTTGCAATATTTTTTATTTTGAGTTTGTAATTTGTTGGTATTATGAATATTTAGTGTAAAGTATACTTATTTCAGACTTTCACTTAGTACTGTACGAAGTATTGATGTAATTAATTATTATACATTATAGAGTGTTTCAAATGATTAAAAAATAGGTATCGTCAGTCATTATGGTCATCAAAATTCAATTTATCATGATTTATTTTATTAACAATTAACTATTTATATTTCAGTTGCAATGTTACCCTTTGAGTATAATTTTAAGACAAAATTTGTCGAAATTTTAAATTGTATAGTATATATTGCCAACATCTCACAAAAATGTATGTAGTAAAATATTAATTTTTTCATGAAAATAGAATACGTGTAGAAACAACTATATACCTACATATATTAAAAAAAAACATACTCAATGATCTCACATTCTTGGACCTCTTTTATTTTGTGGTTTGAGGATAAAACTAAAACCATGGACAGTAAATATGATTGCCTATTATAAAAAAAAACATTACATTGAGAAAAATAGTTCCAAATTTGATTATTTGAACTTTTAGACTAAACAAGTAAGACCTACCTAAGAAATATTTTATCAATATTCGATAGGTTATGAATTTATGAGAGGTTTTGATGTGAAATAGACCTAAATTGTAGTGTTTACAGTTACTATTATCTTCATAAAAGTATGTCTTAAAATAAGAAATGAGGTGATAGACAGTGCTGTATACCAGGAAGTTAGCATAGTTCATAAATGTTGATAATAAACACATTACATATTATAAACAAGATTATATTTACAATAATTAAATATTGCACTTTTTAATATTTTCATTAAATTTATATCCTGTTCTCTTTAGAATTGTTTTGAAAAAATAAAAAATATCTCCATAACGGGAAAGTCGTTATAAAATTTTTAGAATAAGGAAGAATCATAATAAATCAAAAGTCTGTATGACAAAATGTTCTTATAGGTAGTTATTAATTTTATATATTTTATGATAACTATTATTGTTATTATATCTCCTTATATAATGAGACATAGCTCTTAATAGACAATTTGTGAGATATTGAGCAAATATATAAATTAAAAAGAAAACAGAATATTTAATGAATTATTTAAATTGTGGTTTGCAATTGCAAATCAAACATAATGAAAACATACTCAATTTATTTCAATCATCATTCACTTATATGTGAGTGTGCGTGTGTGTGTGTGTGTTTAATATCACCTTATCCATATTTATTAGACTATTACTAGTACTATTATGTAAGAAATAGTTAAAAACTGTATTAAAAATGTAATTAAATATTAACTGTAATTAATATTAATTAATAGGTGATGTATGTGGTCCGTTCAGAATCACATGGGCGTATTGGGCCGATGCTGGCAAGCCAACAGTAGGAGGAGAGTCTCCTGAAGCTGCTACTGCCTACAGCAACTGTGCCAGAGACACCTATTGCTCCGCTCTTGCCGTACAAGGATATATGAGCAAATTCCAGCAGGTACGTTAAAACTCAACAATACTTTACAATTCGAGTAAAATCACATCGCAATTTTAGCACTTTTATAACTTTACCTTATGACGCAGTGTTATCAAAAAAGATTTGAGAAATACTGGATGTCCGGAATTTGAATCATTATTTTAATATGAGGTAGCTTAGGACTAAATTAAAATGGTGTTTATAACATGGGTTTTAAACATAAACACTGAATTATACTAATATTATTTTACACATCTTGACTACATTGTGACAAGTAACTTTTAAGCTTGTGGTAGAAATATTTATTATATTATTTTAAATAAAAGCGAACACATATTATTTCGACGTCATTAGAAGCCCAAAACAAGTTTAAGCACAACACACGTGTTATTAATATTTAAAAATAAGTCCACCTCAAAGTGGAATTTTTAATATTTTATTGTATTAGAATCAGAAATTGTTTAGAACCATAGTGAGCATATATGCAAGTATATAATTTATAGAAATATCTCCAAAACATACAACACTTTCAAATAATGTCATTAGAGGTTATGCCCTGTGTCGTGCTGAGACGTGTAGTGCTGACACCAGTTAACACGGCATGTGGCGTGATGTGTTAATTACATTCGTTTGTTTTTCTACAGATGACTTGATTTTGTTCATTTTTATGTAACAGATTGTTTATATCATAAAAGTCACGTTCTTACTTTTATTCTAAATTCTAACAACTGGCAAAGCAACCTGATTTATAGTATCAGTGACTGATTCGAGCAATACTAATGAACAGATATTAGAAAAAAAATATTATATTAAAATAAAACTTTTAAAATATTTTAAATGTAGGGAAACTTGTTAGAAACGCGGAAATTTTTCTTATTCTCCCACTACATTAATATTTCGTTTATGGTTCTTATGAATTAACCCAGTGAAAACGATAATTTAAAAAACGTTAAAATAACGTAGTTTTGGTTGATATAAGGTAAAGGTTGCAAATATTAAGTTGAATCACACGAATTTTCAACCAAAACGTCATATAACTTATAGGAAACATTAAAAGTATAGGGTTAACTAAATATTGTAATCAAAAGTTATAAAAAGAGGAAAAATTTAACAAAACAAATTATTATACCTATTTAAAATAAATGTTAAACTGACTTATTTAATTAATCACAATGTGAAGTGCGATGTAACTTCAGACTGCGAAGTTGTTGTAAAGAAGCTTCAAAAATAAGTTATTATAGTATGGAAAAACCAAAAAATAACGTCAAAATTACATTAAAAATAACATTGATTAGTGGGTCATTTCAATGATTATTATTCATCTGAAGGTTAAGGTAAGTTGACCACGATTCTATTAGATAAATTACTTAAAAGACCAAACAGGCAAACAATTTCCACAAACCTTGTAGTTATTATACCTATTTATTTTCATCCCACGTGGGTGGCATTTATTACTGTTAAAGTGATTATTTCTTTTTACTTAGGTATATGTATATAATACCTTTTTGTTTTTCTAAACCCAAGCTCATGCACACGTATTAAAGTAATAGCAATTAAGCCTCTGACAATCTATATACAACTAATCGATCCGTTACAGATTTTACACAACAAACCTTTTGCAAATCAAGTTTTTTTTTAAGCTTTTGTAAAAAAAAAGTCAAAACAAATGTAAATTTTTTGTTAACAAATTAAAGATTTTATTTATGTATTAAGTTGTGCATTGAAACTCGTTTAATTAGTAATTAGCGATTAGTAATTCGTTTATCATCTTTTTCTTCGTAAGAGGGAGGAGTGCTGAAAAATTATATTGAAATAAATGGTAAAAGTTACTTGGTTCAAGTATATATTTTAATAAATAATTACATCCGTCGGTCCTAACAAGTTGAATTTGGTTTACAACTAAATAAACTTAGTTTGTAAAAATTAAATTTGGAGTGCAAAACCATTATAGTAAAAATAATGTATACGTAATAAAAAAACAGAAAACAAGCAATTTTAGCAAATTTTATATCATTTTTGATTATACTTATAAATAACGTAAATTTTGAGATAGCGCAGAATGCATTTGGCAACTTTTGATTGGAAGAAAATTGTTTCAAGTAAAAGTTGTAGCATCCTCCAGGGAAGGAAAATATGGATTTTTTTTATCTCATTAAACACCCTTTAGAGACATTCAACCCTGTTTTTTTAATGGCAACATGTATTTTTTACTCCGTAATATTATTTATTTTACTCTTTAGACATCTTTAGTTTGAAAAATGTACAGTTGCTGAAAAAACACTATTTTGGAGACATTACGACCTTCACGTGTTGTTAACTTGAATATTATTTTGCCAGTGAAGATGCTCCCCCCTTTTAGAGAGAAATTAACTAACTTGATTTCAAGATGCATTGTAGTATAACAACCCCGGTTCGATCGACAAAAAATAACTAAACGTAGTTGCGGCCAAAAATATGTGATCGTCATAAGGAATGCCTACGTTGTATCTATCTATTTTTTATATTGACCGGAAGGCGCTGGCTACTAACTTTTTTAGAGGGGATGTATGGTTTTATTTTATAAAACAAAGACAGAGTAAATACACCTAACTTTATTATTTATGTACAACAATCTTCAAATTAAACATGTGACAAATAGAAAGAACAACAAAAACATCAACAACCATCCAACATAGAATGAGAGTGCCAGGCTCACCTAGAGCTCCTGTAGGGAAAGAGCATGGCAGAGAAACCCACGATCGTTGCTCTTACCACCCAAATATAAATACAAAAACAACCACTAACCAAAGGAATAAATTAAGATCCTTTGCTAATGATAAATAAGTCTTGTCCCATTTAATGTGTCACTACATGTCATCTGATAACCCCAAATTAGTTATACACACTTCCAAGTAAAACTGAAGAGGTTAGAATAATAATAATAACAACAATAATAACAACAATGACAATAATAATAATAATAATAATAATAGGTAAGGTACTGGAGTCCCATACGGGAGGCAATCCAGCTATGAGTTGAAATTTCAGAGGAACAACAACAATAATAATAATAATAGGTAAGGTACTGGAGTCCCATACGGGAGGCAATCCAGCTATGAGTTGAAATTTCGGAGAACAACAACAATAATAATAACAACGTAATCGTGATAAAACAAGTTAAAAGTGAAACAAAGAAGTTGCTATTGCAATATCTGGGCGGTCACGACAAAATATACATATTTTAACATTTAATAAATAAGGAACAATCTTTAATAATAATTGTAACAATTTTACCTTAGAAAAATATACGCCCCTGAGCATAAAACAATGAAAGCTAAACATACAAAGAATTATTATGATGAAACATCTATAATCATCACAATCATAAGGTTACATAGAACAATTAACAACAAAGTACTTCAAGTACCTGCTAACTAATACCGTTTAAACACTTAATTTTCCACTACTTCTATATTTTTCACACTACACTGATCGTTTTACTTTTCACTCCGCGCTGTCCTCATTTCAACTGCCTATCTTCGACTATTTAGGCATTCCTTCCAGAATGCCCCCCTAAGCGTTTGTTTTTTGCGCTTCCTTCTACCGACCGTTAATATTACTTTTTCATTATTATACAACATTCATGTAACAGGTGACGTCGAAGTTGATAAGATAAGTACGGTTTTGCATAGCATATCACATCGACTTCTAAAAACTGCGTATTATCACTTTGAACGGGCCAGGAAATAATAACTGATTAACAGCAGCTTTTTAATTAAGCCCTATTTACACAAAACGATATTCATATTGCTGGTTCTTGTAGACTGACGAATAATGGCTACCACTGTTCTGCTGAAAGTCCGTATTGGTATCGAGAAACCGATTATAGACATCAGTGAACTTTGTGTCGTGTGGTATTCATAAAGGTCAATTAATTGAACTACATCTTTTTTTAACAAAATATCCAAAATAATGAATGGAACAATATTCTAGAATAAAACATATAAATTGCCTTTTAAACAAAACAAAGTTTGTCTTTGAACCCTTGAAGGATGAGATTTTTTGAAAAATAATATACCATTCTCTCTTCCTCCAATAAAAACTACAAGTTTTATTTGAAACAGTATTTTATGTTTCCATTAAAATTGGATTTATAGTGTAAACAAAGTGAATATCTTGTAAACATTTTAAATATGTATTTCTCTTTTGACTGGTTGAAAATTTAAAAAGATAAAAAAATTATTGCTATTAAGTGTTTTGATCAACCATATTCAAACAAAATGAGGAATATCGCGACAAACTATTTTTTATAAATTATGTTCTTGTTTGAAGGGGAGACAAACAAATAAGTTCTATATTTAGATGAACAGTCACCTCAGCTATTTCTTCGTGTCTTCGTCGTGTTAACCTGTTTATAAATAACAGGTGATAAAATCAGCTTCGAATCCTGTTATACACTCAAACCGGACTTATTCGTTAAAAGTTCCAATCCATTAAGGATTAACTAAGAAAGAAAAAAATGCAATTCAATAACTAAAACTAGCTTTCTGTACAGATTGTACCAATTAGCAACAGTCAGTAAATGATAAATGTAGAGGAATATCTAAATTTAAATATTATGCCAACATATTACATAATACAAATAATAGCGGTGAAATTTGTTCCTTCGACGTTGATATATTAGGTACTATTTTTTTTTTCATATTTTTTCATAAGGGACTGGTTTTGTTGTTACATCTTTTTCAAGTTCTTGTTTTTCCTGACAAAATCCTGGTATAATCTTTATTTTTTTCAATTAAAACCCCTCCAAATAGAATTTCTTTATTCATTGTCTCACTTTGAAGTGGAAATGGAGAGTAGTGGATGACATTATTTAACAAAGCATTAATTTTACTTACTTACTTTATTAAGTTTTTTTTTATGAAGAACAAATTAAGGTAACTGTTGTGGTTTCTTAATTTATACTAGATAAATAAACAAATTGCAAAAAAAGTGTGTGTACTAAGTGCAACATTAATTTTACACGAAAATGTCATAGCTACTCCATGTTAAAAGTATTTAGCTAATTCAAATTCAACATTTTTTTTCTTTAAAATCTTATACGTTTTAATTCTTATTTTTTGCAAAAAAGGAAGAAAATAAGACGTTCAAGGATTTTCATCACATGACTTGTTCGAAGGGTCATTAAAAATGAAAAAACCGCGGGGGGGGGGCTATTAAATTAGAGGGTTGAAACTGAAAATGCACTTTTGCAGTTTTTTAAATATAGCACGAAAATGAGGCAAATTTTCGGTATAGTTCATAGGAAAAATTTTGTAGAGAATCGAATTTTCCATCGAAATGGCTAATTTAAAAAAAATGTAATTAAATTAAATAAGTACTTTTATCAGATTTTCTTATAGACTTTTTTGTTTATAAAACAAACTAATGGTGTATTACTTTACAGGACTGTACTGGTGATGGAAAAATCGACTGTGATGATTTCGCTACCATCCATAAAACTGGAGGATATGGGTGTAAGGGTGTACCACTCCCAGAACCATACGGAGAACGTTATAGACAATGCAAGCAAATTGTTGGACAGCTCAGACCTTAAGTTGATACATGTTTTCCTACTTTTAAATTCTTTAAAAAATATTCAACTATTGTATGAATTACCAAATTTACCTTTTTGATATTATATAAAACATTCATTAAAATTTTTAGTTATATCGGGAATTAACTTTATATCCAGTAAAGTAACTGATGCTGGGAAATATAATAATAGTAATATGCTTTAATTTAAATGATATAGTCATATTATGCTGTGAGAATTTTAAAATAAAATTCAATTTTTGTAAAAATTGTTTTTTTTTGGGTACTCTTGCGTTATCCTAATATATGAACTGAGTAAGCAACGGTAATAGTGCATATATACGGCACCACATATATATTTCTTGTGTATAAAACATATTCTATTAGAATGTATTAAATTATATCTACGTAAATAGTACAATAAGATAAGGATTTTGTTTATTAAGTTTACTTAGAAATTCCATATAAAATATTTTTTTTGAAAATAAAGTTATTATTATTTGGCAGTATAAGCAGTTGCCTACTAGCAACCCCTAAGATGAGTATTCTAATTTCCAGTTGATTCTCATTATTCATTTCAGCAAGGGTACTAACTAACTTTGAAATTACAGCCAATTTGAATCTTCAGTGAAGATTCAATAAATAAACTTAATTCTAATTTCAGATACGAATTTAAGTGTTTTTTTTTTCAAATATTCTCAGATAAACTAAAAACATAATGGCATCCTCAAATCTTCTGACTATTATAGCCCTGTTAATTTTGTTAACAAAATTAGCACAACTGCAAATGAAGAAGACTGCTTTTTCACGGATATTACAAAATAGTTTTCTTCTCAAATATGTACAGGATGATTCGGAAGGGACCCATCAAACTCTAGAGGTGTATTAATCCTACACGTAAAGATATTTTAAAAAATCCAGATGTTGTTATCCGATTCTCATTTGTTCTCAAATTATACCGTCACAATAAAATATCCTAAATATATTGTTTCCTGGGATTAATTGATTGCGGTGCACATATTAGTTGACCTGCAGGATTTCCAGACCTCAGACTATTGGACTTTTGTTCGCAGTCGATAGTAGGTAAAGAAAGACATCTACAACTCAGATGAGCAAGGAGGGTCTTTGAAGACGACTCAGAAAAAGTCTACAAGCCAGTGGCGATATCGTTGAAAACTTATTACACTTGAAAACAAATCAAAATTGGATACAACTTTTACATGTTTAAAATAAGTTTTACTTATTGAATATAATCCTAAAATTTAATGGGATCTTCCCGAATCATCCATGTTAATAAATATAACTGTTTGTCAGTAATTGCCTTTTATATCCGAAAATTTGAGTGCTCACATATTATATTTCTCTAAATATTTGTTAACTCTAACATCAGTGATGACTAAACTTAATTTAGGAATGTCAAACAAAATACAGTATATTTTCGATGTCGATTAAATGGGACCTTGTAATTCATTTATTTCGTTCTTTTTGCATTCCGTCTTTGAAATACCGCCCTCTAGATTTTGACGTCCATGGACCAACCACACCTTGCACATCCGGTAGAAGTCGCCCTTGTACTATTAATGTGATTCCGCCTTGTCTGAAGCATTGCGTTGTACTAAACTATCCGTCAATCCATTCGCATGCTTTATTGTTTTTCGATTTTTCAAAGAATAATGTGCGTGTGAATAAAAATGTAACAATAATGTAGTGACAACATTTTTACTTATTACTTTTGTGGTGGTCATTATTAATATAGTCGAATCCTGATTTTTTATACTATTCCTAGATAACCGCTTTATAAATAGAAAAATATTAATATCTGGTTTAAAATGATGAATGGTCAAAAGCAATACAATGTACAACAATATTTAAAAGATTTGCTTTAAATTTTGTACTTTCTGTATATAGTTTTCAAGATCTAATAAAACACAAACAACTATCCAACCAAAATGTTATGATTTAACCAATTTTACTTTAGTTCGAAGAGAGTACAGTGTATTAAAAGCAAACTTTTTATTTTAATGTCTTGCCGTAACTAGGTAGGTTTTAATGTATTGGTTAGAAAAAGGTATTTTTGGATAATAACAATATTTTAATATAGCGCTTTTTATGTTACATATAATCTATCACATTTTTTTACTTAAAGTATTTGGTTTTAACCAAAAATTCATTTCATTACCTATATTAAATGATAAATATATTCTGACCAAATAGACCCAAAGATTTTTGACAAAACCTATGTGCAATTTAAGTGTTTCGATAATCTTCATCGAATATTTAGCTCTAGAGACAATTAATGTAAAAAATGCAAACTTATACAATTGCAGTAGGTTTAGTGATGTGATGACATTTACATTTTTCTTGACAATAATAGAAAGATTATTAGCTGAAGTGACATGCTTATAGAAGTGATAATATAAATGCTGTTATGTTACAATTGTGCTTATGTACCAATCTACCAACTAATCATGTGACGCATAGGTATAATCGATTATTGTCTAAAAAATTACGATTTTCCAAATATTTGAAAATGATCCACCATTAGACCTCTTACGAAGAAGAATGATCTGGAATTTTTTTCTGATTTAATACCAATCTCAACTTTATCGCAAATATTGAAAATAAGTTATTCAATCTCAGTTACATAATTATGTAATTGGAAACAAAATTATTCCTTCTTATCAGTTGGGTTCACGGCAATGTATCACGAACTTTGGACAATAAAAACGTTACAGCATTATTTTGATTGAGTTTTACAAACATTCGATACTCTCCATCATTCCCTTTTATATACTAAATTGCGTTACTATGGGTTTAATAAAGGTTCTGTACAATTTTTTAAAACCTCCTTGTTTAACCGATGGCAGACAGTTTTATTTAATAAAGAATTTTGAGATATTGCCCCTGTAACTTTAGGTACTATAGGTTTTAAATCAAAATATAGGTATTGATAAAACAGTGTTAAATTAATAGCACTACGAAAATGACTAAAGCACTTTAATTCACTCTTCTCGAGAAAGCTTAGATCCAGCGAAATGTAACTAGAATACATTTTCCATTTAAAAACGATGAAAAAATATTAATCTGTATATCAAACGGTTATCCAAGGGTAAAAAAGTTGATTAATGTTAAATTAAATGATACATTGAAATACTGTTCATATTATTATTTATTGCCCAACGAAATTCTTGTCAATTTTGAAACAAATTTCCTAAGCTTAGTTACATAAAAAATAAAAAATTGCAATTGAACACTTTTTTAAACATTTCTTAGTCTAACAGGTAAGTTTGGTTAGGTATATCGTATTATTTTGGTGTCTCAAGTTCATAAAAGCTTTATACTTTAGGGTGGTCCACTATAAAAACAAACCATATACAAATTGTTGTCGAGTCAAAGATTTTATATAAAAGAACCTGCCTGTATAGTCAAATTTTAAATATATGACAAATTAGTGGTAGAAATCATTTATGAATTTTTGTGTTACTTAAAAACTAGTCCGACGTCATAAGGGGCAATTGAACAAGAAGCTAGTAGCGATCCTATTGCATAATTTTGAAGAAGAAGAACATATGTCAAAATTGTCCATCAAACCCTGCTACCCTGTTTCCTGTTTTTTAAACAAAAGTGACACTAATGACAGCAGTCTATCAATTAAGAGTATTTGTGATAATTATTAATTTCCTGATTGTAATGGATTCAACAAAATTTATGTGTGTTTTGTTCCACATTCCACATAGCCAATTGCAATATCTCCATAAGACTCCCGAACTGCATTATAAATTTCCATAAGTAAATAGGTATTTTATATAAATAAACACAATAAAATCATTCGTTAAATATGTTGATCCTTACCTGACTGCTTTTATACCTCTGATTTCGCCAATATTAAAACGCTCATCTCTTTTTAAAAATTCAGTTCGTGATCATAAAAATATCAATTTTCGGTAAAATTTGCGAAGTAGCTTTCACAAATCCCGATTCACACATTTTGCTTTAATTATAAGGGAAGCTATTAAATGATTATTACTAAATAATAATTTTACTTAATAAGGGAATTTGAAGATTAAGGAAAATAAGTCGTAGACTTAAAATATTTTATACGACAGTGTCACTGACAGCCTGACACTACAGACAGTGTTGACAGAGCGTCTTCTTCCAATTTTTTTCCTTTACGCAATCATTTACACATAATTTCACTACAAGGTCCTCCTTATGACGTCACAGCCGTTTTGAAATGTTATAAAAAAATCAGTTTTAAATAATTATTTTAAAACTGTTCTGACGCATTTCTCAATCTCTAATTCTGTATACACACTAGTTAGTAGGTACATGTAGAATTATATTTTCTACTTTTTGAAATTTGGTCAACAACCCTATTGTATGAAATTGTATGAACATATTACCATTCTCTCTCTCTCTCTTAAGTTAATGATTGTGTTTTAAATCTATTTCGTAAATGTGCTTTTTCTAGGTACTATTTACTGAATATTTGCAGAGAGTGACACCGTTTTTTTTTTAATAGAAGTTTTTGAGAAAAAGGGATTCAAAAGAAATTGAAAAAAATAAATTCAATGATGTTACAGCTTTGACAGTTATTATTAAAACGAAAAAACAAAAAAAGTTTATAACACAAAAACATTGAATTTTCGACATGTTTAAAGTGGGCGGTATTAAGTGATGTATTTTGGTATTTTCTATTTGTCTGCTTTTTCCAGTGTGAGATTGTTATTAAAAGATTAAGTGCTCCATTGGACCTTCAAATCAGATCATTTTCCATCTTTATCTGGGATATAAAGTGTAACCCTGCTGCATTAACAGAGGAAAATATTAGATATTGCAGAGTTAATAGATGTACTTATTAAAAAAAATATTACAATAGTCTGAATAGTTTACTGTAGTGATTACATAGAAAAGTGATTTAATTTGTAATTAAATTAGGAATGGATCTGCCTCAAAATATTCAGTTTGCTGTGAGTTTTTAAATAACTCCTTTAATATTGATTTTCAAAAAATATGTTACAGATATCGTAAATTTAAAAAAAAATCCAGTCACATCAACTTTACTTGCCACAACGTCAACACAAGATCCGCTTGTTGACTTAACATTTATGGGCATATTCGTATACAATATTTTATCATTAATTTGGCGGATCACAATAAAAACGCGATTAATTCATGGTACCTTAAAAATAACAAGAAATATTGTTAAAGTTACCATCAATAACAACACATAATTCTTAAATATTTGTTTCAAGCTGTCATTAAACTGCTCTAAAACATCCATTAAAAATAAAATAATATTATTTTTTTAATTAAGCATTAGTTTGTCTTTGTGGGTATTGTTTAGGTTATTTTGACTAAGTTCTCAAATGTTCAGTATTTTTATATTACAGGGTGTCCCGAAATTGATGCAACAAAATTTGGTCATAGATTCTTAAGACAAATTTAGAGGACCGTCTTTTTGCAAAGTGGCCTCCTCTTTCAGAGTTATAGTCCCCTGAAATCTGTCCCTAAGAATAGTCTTTTTTATATCTCAGAACCTTGTTGTACGAGAATCTCTAAATTTGATACACCGGGGTTTTATGACATGTGGAATCTGATAGTGCTACGCTTTTTGGCGGGGAACCCCTTTAAGACACATTTTCGTGGGCCCCCTTGTCTTTGGAATCAAAAAAATTTGGTCACAAATTTGAATTTCTTAAAAATTCTTAGTGAGCTAGAAAGCCATTGAATTTAGAATCTTTTTGTCTCGTGATATTTTTTTCGAAAATCGCAATGTTTTTGAGGAAAATGGTGAATCACGATATGCATTGGATCACAATTTGACATTTTTATCGAAAATATTGCGTTTTACGAAAAAAGCATCAAGAGACAAAAAGTTTCTAAATTTAATGGCTTTCTAGCGGACTAATAATTTTTAAGAAATTTAAATATGCTACCAAATTTTTTTGGCTCCAAAGACAAGGGGGCCCACGAAAAATTGTCTTAAGGGGGTTCCCCACCAAAAAACGTAGCACCATAAGATTCCACATGTCATAAAACCCCTGTGTAACAAATTTAGTGATTCTCGTACAACAGGATTCTGAGATATAAAAAAAAGATTATCCTTAGGGGCGGATTTCAGGGGCTTGTAACTCCGAAAGAGAGGGTTACTTGGCAAAAATAAAAAATACGGGTCCCATAAATTTGTCTTAAGAATCTGTGATCAAATTTTGATGCATTAATTTCGGGATACCCGATCCCTGTATACTCACATAATACGCACAATGATAGAACAACCTTGATTTATATTATCTACTTTTTGCCTTAATTTAAAGAAATGGAAATTCATGGGTTTGTTATCCGGTGTACTTTTCCATTTTATTTCCACTGAGCTCATACTTACATTATCTGCTTATTATATAACAGTCCACTTTATATACTTCAGTACGTATCACACCTGCATAAACTGTTATTCATTAGTATCCACATTTAATAGTGCAATTAAATTGCACTCCCTATATTTAATCTTGGAATATAATATACTTCGCAGTCAGTTTTTTAAAATCAGATATGTAACGGTTGTGACTGAATATACAAAATGCAGAAATATTACATCGTTATTTGTGTTTTACTTTTCTCATACAGTGTTTTTACAGAAGGTATGATGAATTTTGCTGCTTAACAACGTTAAAGATTTGACATAATGAAAAATACATATGCTTGTTTAAAAGGAAATGTACAGGGAGATTTAAAATGAGATACAAATATTTTAGGAGGTGGTAAATTTGCAAAAATAAAGATTAATCAATCACTTCTACTTACTAAATTTAGGAAAATTTATAGACATTTGGCCGCTAAAATTAATTGACAAATGAAGAAAATATTCAGCTTCTCACGAATTATTTAAGGTATATGTTTTAATATTTAAGTTTCGCTTTCCTGACTTTTGCGAGTCATTAAATATTAATAAAAATAGTGTAAATCACGGAAACAGTGGATATCTGTACAGGGTGTAACTTTCAATAGGGGTCATATTTATACGTTTTCATAATTATTTTTGCAACTTTTTTTGTAATTTCCATACCCCGCCGCTGAACAGGCTAGTATAACCTCAAAAAACAGCTTGCACGAGGATGCTTGGGCATGCGTTGTGGTTAAATCTCTATTAAATCATCTTTCTTGATTCGAAGACATGATTGTTCATAATATCACATAGAAATTTAACAATGAATACACACAAACACTTTCTCGTAAACCAAGAAACAGATTCAACCATTGTCGTTTCACTGAATGAACGTTTGGTGTTTGTTTTTTGCCTGCCTAGCGCCCTGTTCCCATATCATATCAGGTGGATCGATGTTATGAAGATACAACTTGACTAAACTTGTTCGCGAATTATTTACCGTTCAACGTTCAGACATGGAATGAGCTCCACTACTAGTCTGGTAACGTTGCCACTGCGCATCTGAAACTCGCGGACAAATTGAATTAGGTCAAGCTAGAATCCTTTAAAATAGCTATGTATTATTAAATTTAATGATGATTTATATCCGCGGTGTATCAAGACAATTAAATGTATGTAAAACTAATGTTCACAAAACTTGAAAATTTAGATCCCAACGCACGTTTATAATTTTGCCGCTGGTTGGTGAATGGCTTTGCAGAAGATAATAATTTGCTTCAAAAATTGTTTTGTACCGACGAATCTTGATTTACAAGGAATGGAGCTCTAAATTTTCATAATTTATATGTGTGAAGTGATGAGAACCTAAAGAAACACGACAATAATGACATTACCTGATAGCCACAGCAATCAACATCTTGTTTTCATCGCCTACTTAATTCAATGTTTTAAATCCGTGATACTGAAACATACCGAAACATACAAATGCAAATAATGCCATTTTTCTCAAGAATGGCTTTCTGTAGCCGATTTTCTCAAGAGACAATATTTTTTTTTAAATAAAACGTCCTTTTCAATGTTGATGCCCGTTATAAAAAAATACGACCACTGTAAAAGTTTTGACCACTAAAAGGAAGAGGTAACCGGAGAAAACTGTCACCCAGTACATCGATTTGACTAAAACTTTAAGAAATAGTATGCCATAATAGTCCAAATAAATATGCCAAATATTAACGCGATCGGTAAAAGGGTTATGAAGTTATTAATTAAATTAGTTTTATTTTTAACAACTTTGAAGATTTGTAGCTCAAAATACTCCAAAATATTTTTTTTAACTTTTTTTTCGTAGATCGTATTTATTTATCATCGTGAATATGCAGTCAAACGTTGTAGGTGAAATTGCGGACACCCTGCATGTGCTGTTAAGTTTGTCGCTACACTGTGTATACTTGTACTATCGGAACTTGTTTGGATTTTCCAAGTATAAATTATAAAACTTTAAATTACGCTTCATATAACATCGTTGTTTACAGATATAAATATTTATTAGTTAGAATTCCGCATCTAAACAGAATTATTCAATCTTCCCATTTAAAATTTTAATACCAAAGACGTTTTTAAGAAAGATGCAGTTAGTCTCTGTCGTCAAGGTGCAGTGATTAAATTTATAAAATGCAGAAACATTGGATGTTTATTGTTTATATAATATTTATATTGAGTAGTGCTTTTGGTGAAGGTATATGTGCTATATTTCTCGGTCTTACAACAAAAAGTCATGATGTATAAGTTTAGTTTATATACTTGTTTCTTAACAATTTACCTGAAAAAATATTTGTAGTGGGCTATGAAATCAATTAGTCATTTTAAACAAACATTTAAAATAATTATTAACACTTTGGTAACACTCAAGAAATTAACCTACTCCAGAAAATTATTATAATGTTGTTTTACTACTAGTATTTGTGTAACTATGCTTTCAGCTTTTGCTTAAGTATATAATATATAAAAAATAAACCTATGGTGATAATTTATGTAGTACAATAATTTAATTTTCCAATTAAGTTCGGTACTTTTATTTGTCCAACTTTTGGTTTAAGTATTCTTTTCGTTTTGGGAGTGATTTCGTTTCAAAATCATTCTTTCATTACCTGTCATTTGTCGCATGAAAGTTTTGTTCTTTAGTGAATTAGTTTTTTGTAGATCTCCCTTACATACCCAACTATGGCGTTCGTTGTATGAGATGCATCTGTACAGCGACTATAGGAGATTGTGATCTTACTCTAGGATGTAAAGAGGGATATTGTGGTCCTTTTAGAATATCTAGGGTGTATTGGATTGATGCCGGTAACATCACCCTTCCACAGGATACTCCTGAGAGAAATAATGGTAATTAAATAGCGATAAAACACTACACTTATTTTTAAAATTTTTCAACATCCTGTATCTCGAAATCTAAGCGTTTTCGGCAACATGTTTATAGGAACTTTTTTCTTTAAATACCATCAGAAATTGTGTCCTGAAGTTACGTACCGTACTTAGGAAACCCCCTGTATATACAGGCTGTTGTATAAGTGTGTACAAAAAATTTAGGACTGCATTCCTTAGAAAATTTTTTTAATTGGAGTCCGCCCTAAAAAGTTACAGTCCAAAAGGGCATATTGTAAACTGATTTAGTAAAAACTGTTGAATATAATCAAACGAAATTTGGAATAATTATAGTAGGTACTTCATCAATATCATCATATTTTACTGACATATTTTCCATTTTCCTGGTTTGCTATAAGGGGGTGAAAAAACTACCTCATGTCTTTATTCTTTCAGATATCTTAAGCAAAATAATATTTTAAGATGCCTTTGTTTATTTAGAAACTTTTTTGTCTTTTAGAAAAACTTTGTATTGTTAGTTTTTGAGAAAAAATATTTTTTTGGAAGTGTTCATTTCAATTTCTTGAAATGTGAAACTGAAGCTATTTTGAATAACTTTTATAAAATTAATGCCATTTCTACTTACCTACATTATTTTAAAGTATACATTATTATTTACTTACTCCTTATTTAAAAAAAAATAAACCAGTTTACACCATCCCCTTTTAATGGACTGTCACTTTTTAGGGGAGGCTTCGATAAAAAAAACATTGTATGAAAGACCCCCCTAAAATTTTCCAAGGAATGCAGTCCTGAATTTTTGTACACACTTATGCAACACCCCACCGTAAGCTTTTATATATAATATTTTTCTTTTTCTTGTAGCATATGAAGATTGTGCTTTGGAGTATAATTGTGCCCAAAGAATATTATTGGGATACTTTCATCAATATGCAAGAGTAAGTGATGTTTCAATTTTTATAACGAATTTACTTCTATCATTGTCGTCATATTAAAGGTTTATTTAAAAATGATGTAAATCTACATTAAAAACTAAAAGAAATGTATTTTTTAATTCTACAAGTCCACTGTTCAACTCTGATTTAATATTTGTAAACATAGGTACTGGGTTATAACTACCCACTCCTTATTTTAGTACAAAAAATTCGACATTACCAAGATTTAGATCTGCTGCAAATGAGAAATTACAAAAAATCAAGAAATACTTGGTAGATTTTATGAATAAAGTTTAAATTCATTGAAGTTTTTGAATATTCATGCAATTGTAAAAGTTTGTAAAATATTTTTCGCGATAATAGAGAATCGAATTAAAATTGTTATATTAGTTACAAAAAAGTTAATTTAAATTATTTACAGGATACCTAGATAAAATTGTTTTTTATGTAATAATTAATAGCATTTCAGGTAAAGTACAATACTATTTTCTTGATTTTATATTTTGTTAAATTTATCTACATATACAGTATATTTTGGTACAGTAAACTGAATTTACCAACATTGATAGACATTGAAGAAAAGCGACATTGAAAATTATTTTTAAAATTTTGTTTCAATGATTGGTTAACGCCTAACAATACACATTTAAACAATGGCATAACTAATGATAAACGATTATTTCATTTTCTTGTATTTTAGTCAAGAAGCAACATTTACCTCTAAAAGAAACTTATCATGACCGAGAATGTATTTATAAATTCATATTTAATTTTGAACCTAACTTGAAAAACCGGGCCTTAATCATGCAAAAGCATTTAATTTTTACTGATTAGTCACGATTAAAGTCTTACCAGCATCACAAATTGCCTTCTGTTATAAAACTATTCAATCTTAAATTTTATTCTCAATAGGCCAGTCATTATATAATTTTTCGGGAAAAAAATACTATTAAAAGTTTCTCTGCGGAATATTGTTCAGAAACGTGTTATAAACAAAATATCAAAAAATCAACTTGAGACTAGTTGGGAAACTTTGTTAAAACAATGGTCAAAATTATGGAAAAGTGGTTGTTTGACTCGCGTAAAAAAACTTATTCATAGAGAAAAAAGGTTTATACAAAAAAGGTAGGTATTAAATAAATCTGTAAAATAAGACAAGTCCGATTAAATTCCGATAATTTGTTTATGCGCAAGAGCTCAAAAATGGTCGAAATTGTCCGCTTTTTTCAATTGCTAATAATTAATGCAATTTTCATCGCAGACACTTGTAATTCAGGATTTTTGAAGCTTTTTGCACCCTTAATAAGTGGTAAAAATTTCAGCCCAAAAACTTCATTAGCTTGGCGTTGGCGGAATTTGTTATCTAAGAAGATGCTATTTTCAATTCATTTTTCCCAAGCTCACAGGCGTTGTAGGGTTTCGATCATTAGTTGTTTTTGTACCTAAATAGTTGTATTGACATATGCATTTACTGATAATTTAATTTTTCAAATTTAATTTGTTTAAAAATGACTGAAAAAATGTTAATATTTATTACATCGTTAAGCGCGCATGCTAAGCCTCGCCTTCCCCACTCGTTCGCTAGACCAAGTAATAGAACGCATCGCCGCTATCTTCTTTTTCGAAATTAAATAGTTGAATTCACCTTAATGTTAATGTAGGACATGAAAATATAGCTCTTAATGTATACTCTCTCCAAATTTCGGCTCTTAATATTAATAATTAAGGTCACTGCGATTAAATAAATAAAAAAAATTATCTCAGCTTCTAATCAACTTACAACAACGATTTTTTTTTAAATTCGAAGAAAACTAAAGTAAAGAGGTTACTATTTTATTTTATAATAATTACCTATCTTAACAATTTAATAAATATTAACATTTTTTCAGTCAATTTTAAACAAATTAAATTTGAAAAACTAAATTCTCAGTAAATGCCTATGTCAATACAACTATTTAGGTACAAAAACAACTAATGATCAAAACCCTACAACGCCTGTGAGCTTGGGAAAAATGAATTGAAAATAGCATCTTCTTAGATAACAAATTCCGCCAACGCCAAACCAATGAAGCTTTCGAGCTGAAATTTTTACCACTTATTAAGGGTGTAAAAAGCCTCAAAAATCCTGAATTACAAGTGTCTGCGATGAAAATTGCATTAATTATTAGCAATTGAAAAAAACGGCAATTTTCGACCATTTTTGAGCTCTTGTGCATAAACAAATTATCGGAATTTAATCGGACTTTTTTCATTTTATAGGCTTATTTAATACCTACCTTTTTTGTATAAACTTTTTTTCGCTATGAATAATAGCTTTTTTACGTGAGTCAAAAAACCACTTTTCCATAACTTTGACCACTGTTAAAACAAAGTTTCCCAACTAGCCTCGAGTAGATTTTTTGATATTTTATTTATAACAGGTTTCCGAACAATATTCCGCAGAGAAACTTTTAATAGTATTTTTTTCCCGAAACAGGCTCTTTCATGTCTATAATGACTGGGCTACATAGGCAACTATCATAATGTCCTGTTACTCTTACTTTCTTCACTTATTTCGGAAACCGATTCATATCATCCTTGTTTCAATTTTCTTACAGGACTGCAATAGTGACGGTGTCACTAATTGTGACGATTACGCCATGCTTCACGTTAATGGAAGAGGCCAGTGCCACCCACCCGTAAACAGAACCGAAAGGGGTAAAGCCTGGTGGGATAAATACACTAAATGCGACCCATTAGATAGAGCAGAGTTTAGGTTTCAACAGTTCTAACCACAGAGCACCGTTCTAACTATTCTACTTCCGTTAAGTTCAAAGTCGACTTGTGCTTTATTTAACTTTTTCCTCTTTTAACTATTTTTAATTACTCCTCCTTCATAATTAAATAGCTTATTATATTTCTCCTCTATTTACAGAGCCTCTATTTGATTAAATGTCAATACACTTACTACTAATCCTTAGTAATTATGATAACAAAATTAAACACATTTTGCTTGTCTCCGTTTACTGGTATTGAATAAATGAGATCATATTTACACAAAAATGTATGAGAGAAATTCATTTGAGTAAAACGATTTGTTTAAAAAGTGACTACGCAAATATTATCCTATTTTTCGGCATAGTTTCCATGTTTTGTAACACGCCTGGTCTATACAGTTAAGTAACTCTGATAAAAAGGCTTACGTTTTTGGAAGTGGAGGTAAGATAGTAGATAAAGGTGGAAAATGATGTCGATGACATTCCCTTATATGTAATTAAAGAAATATATAAATATCTAAATTAAATATGCTACGTGGGCCCTTATCAAGACTGGTCAGAACTTGAACTTGAAGGTGATCTGTTCTTTGTGACTCCACCAATTACTAATTGAATATATCTATAATTTAAAAAAANTTCGGAAACCGATTCATATCATCCTTGTTTCAATTTTCTTACAGGACTGCAATAGTGACGGTGTCACTAATTGTGACGATTACGCCATGCTTCACGTTAATGGAAGAGGCCAGTGCCACCCACCCGTAAACAGAACCGAAAGGGGTAAAGCCTGGTGGGATAAATACACTAAATGTGACCCATTAGATAGAGCAGAGTTTAGGTTTCAACAGTTCTAACCACAGAGCACCGTTCTAACTATTCTACTTCCGTTAAGTTCAAAGTCGACTTGTGCTTTATTTAACTTTTTCCTCTTTTAACTATTTTTAATTACTCCTCCTTCATAATTAAATAGCTTATTATATTTCTCCTCTATTTACAGAGCTAATTAGATTAAATGTCAACACACTTACTAATCCTTAGTAATTATGATAACAAAATTAAACACATTTTGCTTGTCTCCGTTTACTGGTATTGAATAAATGAGATCATATTTACACAAAAATGTATGAGAAAAAATCATTTGAGTAAAAGGATTTGTTTAAAAAGTGACTACGCAAATATTATCTTATTTTTCGGCATAGTTTTCCTGTTTTGTAACACGCCTGGTCTATAAAGTTAAGGTTGACTCTGATAAAAAGGCTTACGTTTTTGGAAGAGGTGGTAAGATGGTAGATAAAGGTGGAAAATGATGAATATCTAAATTAAATGTGCAATGTGGACCCTTATCAAGACGGGTCAGAACTTGAACGTGAAGGTGTTCTGTTCTTTGTGACTCCACTAATTACTAATTGAATATATCTGATTTAAAAAAATACTGAGTACTCTATTGAGGTAATGAATGTGTTAATTTATTACATAAAACATATACAAGGTGTGATATATCTACGATTTAATCACACTCATTCTAATCTGACGGAATGCGCGTAGTAAGACCAGAAGGAGCTACAGTGAAGCATGTCCTTTGTCTCCGTCTACATGAACCGGTTTTAAAGAATTTTGACACCGGAGGATCGCCGAATGATAACTCCAAGTGTACAATGATTGCAATGGGAATTATAGGCGAGCCACTCTCAGAGTAAGAAGAGCGCCAGAAGAAAGGGCCCTAGCCGGCGGGGCCCAGCCAGGACAAAAGGAGGTCCCACAAAGCGCCTACACCGGCCGCAATTGCGGTCGGGGTAGACGACGGANTTTCGGCATAGTTTTCCTGTTTTGTAACACGCCTGGTCTATAAAGTTAAGGTTGACTCTGATAAAAAGGCTTACGTTTTTGGAAGTGGAGGTAAGATAGTAGATAAAGGTGGAAAATGATGTCGATGACATTCCCTTATATGTAATTAAAGAAATATATAAATATCTAAATTAAATATGCTACGTGGGCCCTTATCAAGACTGGTCAGAACTTGAACTTGAAGGTGATCTGTTCTTTGTGACTCCACCAATTACTAATTGAATATATCTATAATTTAAAAAAATAACTGAGTACTCTATTAACGAGGTAATGAATATGTTAATTTATTACATAAAACATAAATAAGGTGCGATAGATCTACGATTTAATCACACTCCAATCTGACGGAAGGGCGTAGTAAGACCAGAAGAAGCTGCAGTGAAGCATGTTCTTTGTCTCCGTCTACATGAACCAGTATTAAAGAATTTTGACACTGGAGGATCGCCGAATGAACTCCAAGTGTGCAATGATTGCAATGGGAATTAGAGGGGAGCCACTCTCAGAGTGTTCACATGCGTATCTTATGGACTAACTAACCTGACGAATGCAATGGATATAAAGATATAAAAGGCGAATAGGTATACCTCCAGTACTAATCCTATCAGCATGAAGCCTTGGAATGCATTTGACTTGATGTTAAACGTCGTAAGCAAACTCACAAAACGAATCTACGGATAGTAACGTCTCAATATGTCAATCAGTATCGAAATTCATCATAATAAACAGATATGATCATCAAGTCAGATTGAAATTCGAATTTTAAACAAAATTTATTGATTGGCACCAACTAGCCATTTGAGTTATGGTGTACAGACAACATGCTTACTTAGGGGTTTTATTTCCAGTTTAAAACGCATAACATTTAAATTAGAAGCTTCATCAAGGGTGTAAAAATACTTCTTATATTTCGACCTCAAACCAACTAACCAAAAAGAAAAAATAACAACCATTGAGATGGAAGCAATGTTCATAACGTTTTGTCATGATCTCTCCTTCGTGAAACTGGAGACATAAAGCTGGTTAACTTTTAGGATGTCAGTGGTACACTTTCAAAAAATAGGTGAAATTGTGACTAGTATTCGCTACAGTTTCATGCTAGTGAAGGGAAAGGAAGTTGGATAATGCAATAATTTAGAATGTATAGCATTCTAAATTATTGCATTAGAGTAAAGATGCCTATTATGAGACACCTTTTTTGAAAAAATCATGGTTCTTTTCAATTTTAACATTTTTATTGGAAAATTAACGTTTTTCTGTAGGGAATTTAATCTAGATCCTTAAAAAAAAAAACGCGAGAACGCCTCAAATGTATATTTCAGTTTTTAAGTTAGATTTTATCAAAAAAGTAATATTTGCCTAATCGAAAAAGGGATTCCCAATTTGAGACAGTATGGGTTCTCAATATGAGACAATCTCAAATTAGGGAATAAAGCTGAAATTGACCTATTGTTTGCCCAAACATATTTTTATTGAATAAACAGAACATAAAACATGTTTAGGTATGTCTTTCTCAAAAACAAAAAAAAACATTTTTTTCTTTAAACAAAGTAACATTTTCTCTTAAAACAACGAATAGGTAATTCTGTGAACAAAATAAAAAAAGTTTAGGTTTTCAATCTTAACAACAAACGGCACAAATAAACTTTTTTGATTTTATTTCTCCACATTCTAGATGTGCCCATTTGAAGCAGACCTGGCATTTCTCCCACTTTTCACCTCGCGTATCTTCGGAATACAAACCGGCGCAATATGGACATTCTGCATCGTCTTCCTCGTTTTCTGAAGAAAAATCCATGGTGTGCGAAACAGTGTCATCATCTTCACTGGACGTTGATGATTCAGTAAAAATTTTCCTTTTCACAAACCTTTTCCCAGTTCCTTTGCCTTTTGCAGCAATTTTTCTTGGCTCTCTTTGTTTTTCCTTTTTTTTGCCTGCATTTCTTTTTTTCTCTTCAAAGCTTCTTCTATTTGTAGTTTGTATGGAGAAGATGTTATCAAGCTAGCTGAATCTGCACGACTAGACTTATCTTTGCGCATCTCTCCGGGAGTGCAGGAACTGGTTTTATTTGATATGGTGACACAATTATAGTGGAAACTTCTTTTCTTGTTGACTTGCCAAGAATCCATCTTAAATCCATCTGAAATATATCAAATTTGCGAGTATAGTATTGAAGGTCTAACGAAAAACCTTTGTTTCGCTTATCTATACTAGTTACCCAGTGGTGAAAATGCTTTACCTTAATATGCGATGCTTTGTCCCGTATAAGTACCTCATATTAGGAGCTCTCAGGTGTCTCATACTAGGGTCTTAAGAAATTTTATTCAGTTTTAGGTTAGTTGGTAAAACCATGAAAAAAATGACTCAACGGCATGATAAATAGATACTACGTCATGTTAACATTATGTTAATGATAAACAACACTGTCTTGTTAATAATTTTCTGTTTCCTACATACCTTTACGACAAGCACTGCAAGTATTTTGGCGACCGGCACACAGAAACTTTCCGCACAGCCAACTGCTTTCCCGCGCGACGCAGCCTCTGTTAACATATGATAGAAAGTGAACTGCCGGTAATACAGAACAGTGGCGCTCTTTTCAAAAAATGGCCTAATTTGCGAGAAAGCCCGGTGTCTCATATTCGGAACTGTCTCATAATAGGCATCTTTACCCTATCCATTGTACTGCGCACAGTGTCCATCAAATTTGTTTACGCCTTTTAAAGGACATTTGCACAATGAATTGACAGAACATAATGAGACAGTTCAGGTGGTGCAAAGATGCTTAATAGCTGAAATAAATACCTTTTTTGTAAAGAGCATCCACAAGCTTATGGCCAGGTATACCAAGTGCGTTATGAAGCATAAAATACTACGTTACATGATTAAACAATTTTGACAAGAAAATATCCCATTTTTCTATATTTCTCTATGAAATATTATTATTGGTTTAATAATTACATTTTTAAAATATATGCTTTGCGATCATATCACAGATCATTAAAACTCTATCATGGATGAATTTGTATATAAGGCATCTTATATTAAATCCCAGTAGATGTTTTAATACTATTGCCTTTCCGTCATTTTTTTTTGCTGAACCTTAAGTACATCTTCACTGCTATTGTTATGTTAGTCTCCAGCTTCTAAAATTTATTTTTTGTCTGTTACACAGCGATATTAATTATTGACATATCCAACACTTTTTTTCAAAAAATTGTAACTAAATAATTTATATTATACTTAAGATTAATTTTTCTACACATATTAAAGTAACGTATCTTCTTTTGTTAGAATACAAAATGAAGAATGAAAACAATTTCGAATAAAATTTCTTTAAAATGTTTTTTCTCCAAACCAGGAAAATGATGTAGGTACAAGTTTGTCATTGTATTTTTGCTTTTTCACAACGTCTACTCTATCCTGTAGCTTAGCAGTATGAATATAATCTTGTTTTATTCCTTATAATCAAACTTTTAAACTCTGTTCTGTTATTTTGTGTCCCCGAAAATTTATTTAACAATCCAGCCCATCTCTTATAGTCCACACCGATGTGAATAAAAAATATAGGAGTAAAGAATCTAAAGGTGGGTCAAATTTTAAAGATCCTAACTTATCTAACGTGTTAATAGATATTCCACAGAAACACTTCTTTTTTTCGTTAAAGTTATAGTTCAACATTTTCTGATATTTCAATTGAAGGTAAAAAAATATATACTATTCTAAAAGGAAATTACAATTAAGAAAATGTGTCTTTTTACATACTTCTACTTACCGTACCGAACCTATTTCTCAATTAGAGAATATTTGAAAAAATATGTTTGTTTCCATAAAAATAATTAATGTATGCATCTATTTTATGTTGTCTACATTTAAAATGTTACACTTAAAATGTAAGTTTATGAAATAGGAATACTGAAAAGGGAAATACAAACTTGCCTGATGACAGAACTCAAATAAGAAGAATGTTCCCAAACATGGATCGCAAAATATTTAATTTCCGAGATGTTAAATATTCAAGTAGAAATTCCTAAAGGTAGTTTTTTGATAATATTCAAAACGTCCAAAGATAGGTCTTTCATTTTCTGTCATTTCTGTTTTAATTCATCTGAATTGAAACTTACTGGCATTATTTGCTAATATAATTTTCTTGCAGATTTTCATAGAGGAAATTTGAATTTACTATTACCTACTATTACACTTACACCATTAAAACCATGCTGATTCCTTGATGTTTATTCACATTACATCTTTTTTTAGAACTGCAATAATGATGGGGTAACCGTTTGCGACGACTAGTTAGATTTTATAATCTTGACAATACCATGTTCCACTTCAATAGAAAAGCTCAGTACCATCCACACATAAAGAGAACCGAAGTGGAGGAATTATACTGTTTGCGATCCACTGGATAAAAAAAGGATTTCATTTTGATAATATCTAAATTAACCAACCATACATTATTATATTTCTACTTCTTTAATAGATGTAAATATTATTATATATTCTAATTTCTTATTGTGACGCACTTTTCCTCGGTTCTCTCTCTATGGATCGTTCGGTGTAAATTTTATTACTTTTAACTATGGTGTGTACACCCCCTGTAATTTAATTTTTCGGAACGGTCTTCTATTCCTCGGACTGGACTCTAAACGGTAATGTTATTTAATAACTTATATAGTCGGTTTTATTCTCGGGCGCCAGTTTCCCTAAATTTGACGTGGGGGAAACTCCACGTATCCCTTACCCTCGGTTTAGAGTAAAGTGCACAGGTAGCTACAGTGAAGAAAATTAATTCCAGGGGTCAATGAATTTCTTTTAGGAGAAAACGGCAGAGAGTTCGGCAGAGAGTAGTTTTCTCAGTGTAGTTTTATTTTAAATATGAAATTTAACGGGAGCTCTACAAAACGATATCAGCGTTTTTGCTGGTTCGGAATGTTATCGTTTTACCTCGACGGTGAAAGAAATAAACCTATTAAGTTTTACTAGATTTATTCACACAGGGAAAATATTAATACTTATTACAAATACATATAGTGTCAATTTTTATTCCTACCCACTACTAAACGACTGAAATTATTTACAAGTTTATTAACAATAATTATATACAAAATCAGTGTGAAAGAGACAAAATTAAAAAGTTATGGTTCTGGGTTTTTTACACTTTTACTTATCACCTTTAGAAAAGAAATAAATATTTGCAAACGGGATCGAAATAAAATATTTATTACTCTACAATCGTAGACGGTTTTTATGTACAAAGGAAAAGGTGATTTTAGACGGTCTGATTAAAATATTTATAGACGTTTTTTACTGGTCCCCGCTGATTCTGAAAATAAACCAAAATTTATTCGGAATTATTTCGGATTTATTTTAAACAGGCGGGCGGTCAAATATCGGTATAATGGCCTAGCAAGCAATGCAAAATTAGTAAACGGAATGCGGTAAGCGGTAAGCGATAGCAATAACCAGCGAAGAAAGCCCAAGCGGTGCAAGGCGGAAAGAAAGGATGGTGAAACGGGATCCGAAGTATCTCGCCTTACAATTCGTACTAGCCTTTAAGCTTTATACGTCCTGGTGGCCGATGGTGTCGGACTCTCTGTATACAACGCTTCTCGGTCTGATGGGTATACACGCCGACCAGGGAGAAGCGTACGGATACTATATGGAACGACCCGGAGATTGGGTGGGCACGCCGAACCTCTAGGTCTTGGTTCACATATCCCCTATTACCCAGCGTACATCAAGGTGCGGGACACCAAGCAACGCTGTAGTAAACACGACGGCTTCGTCAGGATTGGGTTTAACACGCCGAATCCAACGATTGCACTGTCGTGTGGGTTGAGACGGACGGTGGAATTTGTGTGTGGGTTACCAAGAATATTCTTCTCGGGCCCACAGTAATTCCACACTTAAAGTGTACAAATCTTTTCGGACTTGTACCCGGTTGGAACGGATAATAATAAGGAAAATAATTCTTACTAGGTTCACTGGTTATTCGGGGCTGGCTTCGGTGGAGAGTTCTTGCTGGCGGTGGACGTCTGTTCGGTGTTGAGTTCTGGATACGAACTGTCGGTTTCGGGGAATGTCGAGGACTTTTGTTGCCCAAATCCCCACCGGACTGACACCAGTCGTGGTGGGACCTCCACGTGACCAACGGCTTGTCAGAGTGGGGTATCGGCCGGTCGGACCCGCGAGTGGATATTTGATATATATGTAGAAAAATCAATAATTCTCGCCGCCGGGGCAAAATAATCCGAAATAAAAAGAAATATTTTTAAATCCAGACAATAAAAATCAAAAATAAAACAGGTTCATTACATCATTTTTTCTACGCAGTCAGTTGAATCAGTTAGTTTGTTTACTCTGTACTGAAAAATTATCTCGTCTAATTTTTTGTTATAATTTTATTAAGGAAATTAAATAAGGAAGAAACTGCATACAAGTTTAAAAATTATTAAACATATTGATGAGAATTTGACGGAAACTATCTTTGGGTACCCGCAGAAAATATTTAATTTCTTGTTTTTTTTTTCAAATACTGCTAAAAGCATAGAAAAGAATCGATTGAGTTGGTATATCTACTGAGAAGAAACAATCTGGGCTGATTTTATTTTGTCTAATATCCATTATCTGTGTAACCTCTCAAACCGTATAGTGTGTATGAGTATTACATGAGTAAGTATACCAAAAAAATCTTAATAAGAAAGATTGTTGATATGGAAAAAAATTCTAGATAACTAGATCTAACTAATACCAGAATTCTAATGAGAGAAAGCCAAGAATTAAAATATGGCAACATTGGTTTGAATTGTTTTCCTTGCCCCTTGTGAGAATAAAATTGAAATGTACGAAATAGTACAAAAAAGTAGTGCACTCTTTGGAAGAAATGGAATTTTTTCGGTATAGTTCTGGAATTTTGGAATGAAAGGGTTTGTTGACCAGCAGAGGTTTATGGTTTACGCCGAAAATAAATTAATTTCTTCAAATGATTGGATAGCTATTGCTAAAACAGCTTATAGTGATACAAAAATCACCCTGCATAACCCCAAATTTCGACTCAGAACTTTGGTGATCATAGTACGATATTTGTTGAGATAGAAAGACATTTTCGGAAAATTTCAAGGCTTGCCCTTGCCGCGGTAAATTCTTGCAATAGTTCCGATAACCGAACTTTATTGGTTTATTCTTTTCTTGGAATTCTATCTTTACTAATATTGTACGGACCACAGTATTAGTATACTGTGGTACGGACTGTACATTGTATACTCACTTGTCTATGGTGGCCACCTCTGTGAATATAGTACAAGGCATATCGACAAAGTAAGAGCATTGAGACTCTGATGTCCTGTGGTTTTTGTTTTCAATGAAGTTGGCAACACTGCATTTAAGATCAAGGTGTTGGGAGTAGAATATGCGTTCATTTGTCTCAGTCAATTGAGAACTGTTGTTGTATGGCGTGTTGAAAAAATGAGTGCTGCTATTGTGAATCCCGCCAGCTGAGAGGTGAGGAGCGCAATATTATTTCTTCTTGCAAATAGAAAGGCGCGATTTGAACGAAATTAGAACTGTTTACCAGGATGGTGTGATGAATCGTACTAAAGTGTACAAGTGGGGTCATGAGTATAAAGTTTGCAGAACGAATGTTCTTGATGATGGACGAAAATAATGGCCACTGTGTTTTGGGATTCTCCTCATTGACTTCTTGTCCCAAGGGGGAACAATGGTGCGCGGTACTGTGTAACACTGAACCCACTACAGAGGACCATACAGAACAAATGTAGGGGACGTCAATAAAGGGAGGTGCTTGTTGCATGACAATGCTCGTCCCCACACAGCAAACGCCACAAAGCAACTCTTGGATTCATCATCAACCACCCCGCTCACAGCCCTGACCTGACAGCTTTTGTTTTTTCTATTTTCTCTTCTCTGTAGGTATTTATGGGTGGAAATAGGTTTTCTACAGTTGATAAGGTTCGCAGTACCGTGCCGTTTGAAGTCGACTACATCGAATAATAGTATTTGATATACCTTTTTAAATATGTAATTTTTTCATAAATACAGGGTGTAACTAAATAAGTGTAAAACATTTAAGGGGGTGATTCCTCATCGAAAAAAAGATAGGATCTTTCATATAAAGAAACTTCATTGGAGCATCCCTTGTTAAGATACAGCCCCTTAAAGAGGGTATGTTTTGTTATTAATAAATTAGTTTTGATTATTCCCCTTTAATCATTTAATGCAGGTAGTAACTACAAAATAACAGTAAATCCAGTTCGCATTTATGACGATGTATCTCTGTAGTTGTTCGTAAAATAATTTTTTGCTGCGAACTGGTTTATTTTGGGCAAAAAATTCAAGAGACATTTTTTTTAGAATGAAACAGGCTATCGGAAATAAATTTTTAAATGGTAAACAAATAATAATACAAAAAGTTACGTTGGAAATAAATTTTAGGGGTTGCGTTTTCCACCCCTTACAACCATGGGGTAAACCAAATAAATTACTGGCTAAGTGTCTTTTTGGTAGTAGAAAATGTCAGGTTAATTTCAATATTGTAACTAGTTTAGTGCTTGTGAAAAAAATTGTTAAACAAATTTTATGTACCCCCTTTAAGGGGCTGTATCTTAACAAGGGATGCTCCAATGAAGTTTCTTTATATGAAAGATCCTATCTTTTCTTCGATGAGGAATCACCCCCTTAATTGTTTTACACTTATTTAGTTACACCCTGTATACTGCCGTATCGATTTACTCTTACTTTGTGGATATGCCTCGTATGTACAGTCGACATAAAATACTCGTAACTAAGGAATACCTTATAAATAATAGGGCTTCATGGTTCTGAAGTCAGTAGACTTTAGTTAAAAGAATTAAGTCCATATAGTGATAAATGGTTTTAAAATAAAACTAGTAGCATATTTTCTGAAATTTTATTGTAATATTTTTTCTAACATAGGTAAGAGGTATCCAAAATAAATTATACATCAAAATTTCCAAATAATTTTAATTTGGTTGCCTCGTCAACTATCTACACAACGTTATACGACACGACTAACTTTATAAAATTAAAATTCTATTTTTTACAGCATAAATACACTAATAACTATGTTTCATTATTGCCAACATTAAAAATACCCCTCACTTTGTATAAAAACAAGTAACTTTGTACTGAATATTTCAGTTATTGTTAATATTTTGATTTTGGGATATGTTTGTCTATATTCTAAAAACTATTGTTTGTATACAGAGTGATAGTATAGTACTTATGTACCTCTATATATGGATCGGGATGATGCAATCGTTTTTAAAAGTTTACCCAAGAGTACATTTATATCTGGCACATCTAAAACAGTAGATAATGACAATAAACATGTCAAAACATTGTTCAGTTGTTGAAAATATACATAACCTTCATAAAGGTTTACAAACCACAAGGGCTGATACTGGTAACGAAAAATCCCTAAATCTTGGCGTTACCAATATTAATGATTCGTTGCGGTCGCTGATTGGTTGAATAGAATCTCGTGAAAAATTACACCAATCACAGCCGGTCAAACAGAATATTATGTTTGATCTCATTATTGTAATTTATCAAAATTTAATTGCTAACATGAAGGAAATAAAATAAATGTTCCAAACACTTGTTACGTGGCTTGTAATCATGAAGGCTCTGTATAAATGTACAGTTTCAGAATTATTATTTATGCAACTAGTGTATAAAGTAGGTAATACAAAAAAGTTTTGGTAGGTATACGTAAGTTGCATACAATATAATTTTAAATTATACCAATCTATTTTACACACTAGTGTGTGCTTTAGGCACTACTATCTAAAATGGACTAAGAATGTAATGTAATGGGGTATTTTCCAACTTTTTAACTACATCGGAAGATGATGCATTGTTGTATTTCTTCCTTTTTCATTTTGATCTCATTGAAATCCTAAACAAATTAAAATATTGAAATTTTTGTGATGACTATATTTTATTAATTAAGCTTCTTGCTACCAAAATTTTCAAACAATATGCTTTTGTAAGTCATTTCAGGGGTATAAATTGCACAGTAAAAAATAACAATGTAAGTTCAGGGTTAACTAACTCATAACTACGACTGAAATTATTATAGTGTTTTTTTTTTAACAAATAAATAAACTCAACCACACAATTTTCAGTTAAAAGAACTAAAGTATTGACAGAATGAGAATACACTCTTTTAATTTTAGAAATCACTCCATTCATTGTCAACATTACTAATTTCTGAGTAAGGGAACACAAAGTTGAGAACAAAAACATACGAGGTCTGTTCAGAAAATATTGTTATTTGAGTGCAACATGTTTAAGTGTTAGTAACGATTTTTGAAATGTGCGATTTTCTGGAACAACGAGGCAACATAAAATTTTGCGTGAAACTGAGGAAAACTTTCACGGAAATATTTCAACTTTTGAAATAAGCTTACGGAGATGATGCTGCATACTGTGAACACCCCGCCTCCAATGTCTTTCTACCCCGGGTATGGTTAACTCCAAGAAAGTAGCGCAGACGTCTTGGAATTCTATCACACTAAATTTCGTACGGACTGTATGAGTGGTCTTCACGATTTAAAAGTGGTCGTCAGTCAATTGAACATGATCCTCGACCAGGAAGGCCTTTGACGTCAGTTGATGACTCCCACGTTCAGAAAGTCGAAGATCTGGCGCATGCAAATAGCCGATTGACTGTCAGAGAAATTACAGAAGATATTAACATCTCAATTGTGTCATGCTATGAAACTTTGAAAAACTGAAGATGCATCGAACCAGTCTCGATCCAATGTTAAAGTGATTCTCACCGTTTTTTTTTTTTTCAACTTTAATGGAATTGTGCATTTTGAATTAGTATCCTCCCTCATCCTCCATACTTGCCAGACCTGGCTCCTTGCGATTTCAAACTAGTGATGACCCCAAAGCAAAGTCGCCACAGACTTTAAAATGCACTTCAAACGAAGCTATGCAGGTCTGATCTGTGAAATGGAAACATCGCTCCTTTGAAGGAGACAAGGACTAATAATGTATAAAATTAATAATAAAGTTTAATAAAAGAATAAAGTCGGTTATTTTCTGAACAGACCTCATATGTTTTGCAAACGAAAAATCATCTAATTTGTGATGCTTTTCTCTAATTCCTTTCAACATATAACCTCTATACCTTTCAGTTGTCGAAGAAATAGCAGCAGCCTCTAGCGGAGGACATCGAAATCAGTGGATTTCTAGAATCCTATCTTAAAAAATCGGTTCAAAAATTGCCAACAGTTATGACACCCTATCAGTGTACCAACAGACATTTCGGGACTTTTCTAATGTTTCACTTAGTGATGATGTCGTTAGTGATGTCATTAGTGATATTTACGTAAAATAAATAAAATCAAAAATATTGCTAAATTAAATTTGCCTCACCAAAAATATTATAAGTATATACATAATGTTCTACGTATAAGAAATTTCGTTTGCAGTTGAAGGAAACTACCCCATTATTGATATTTTTACGGACGTATTAGCAATAAATTATATTATTTTGAAATAAATAGTATCATTATTTTGTCCTTAACGCAAAACAGTATTGTGAGTATGTTTGCCAGCTATATTTAACTCATAGGGCATTAGAAACATGCACAACCTTACAACTATTCACCTCACTTGAAATATACATTATATTTTCGGTTAGTTAGGCTTTAAGCATTTTAATTTAATTTCATAGCAATGTTTATTTTCAAACGGTAAGAAATAACAGAGAGATCTAAAAGAGTACAAATTGACCTATGAAGAACAGCTAAGTATACACAACTTTTTAATTTAGAGTTTTATAAATGGCATATCAACGGTTCACTTAGTATTTAATATGTAAGTAAATAATATGTATCGTTAATAGAAGTACTAATTACTCAAATGAACAGAGTAATACAAATATACAGAGTGACCAGATAAGTAACTATATTTTAAACTATTATATATCGGGTATTGCTATTTCCAAAAATATATTGAAATAAAAATTCAAACGTTGGGACTGTTTTTTTTATTGAAATTTTAAGAAACAAGTATTTAACTTACTTTCGGTAAAAGACTAAATGAACATCCCGTATAGTTGCTTTAATGTATAAAGATATGATTTAATATACGTATATATAAGTACCACTGTTAATTTGAAAAATAAATAATATATGTATAAAGGGGGTACCAAAAGTAACGCAGAATTTAAATTGTACGCAATTTTCATTCCGAAGAGTTGGCGGCATTGTGCAGGGTCATATGTTGTAGTAAACACGTTGCGGTTAGACAAAATGGAGCGTCATACGACGGATGAGCGAGTGAAGATTGTACGGAGAGTGTGTAGCTGAGACTGTGCGCAAATTACGTGGAATTTTCGGTAGAAGAAACGTCCCGAATGAACAACTGTGGAAAGATCAGTTGACAAATTTGAACAAACAGATTCGGTTGTCGACAGTAAAAAAATAGGCCGGCCTCGTACTGGCCGTTCATCCGAAAATATTGCTACAGTGAATGGTACTGGAAATTCTGGTAACCTCAGTGTGCCGTCGGTGACTGCAATTAAACATTTCAAAAAGTACAATGCAGCGGTTTTTAACAAAAAAAATCTGCATCCATTCAAGATTCGGCTAACTGACTAATTGAAACCAAACGACTGCAATCAAAACTGTTGGAGCAGAGACAAGGGCGTAACTAGGATTAAATTATCATATTTCCCATCTTTAAGAAATTAAAATTATTTCATCTTAAACTATATTTATAATTTTTTTGTTTATCAGTTACCTATTATTTTAAAAAATATGTAGCTACGCCTTCGAGCAGAGATAATCCTCGAGTCATTCAAGAACGACCACTGTATATCCAAATAGTGATTCTTTAATTAATAAATTCTTTTTTCCTCATAATATCCTGCGTTTATTGGGACACCCTTTACTATTTATATCTTTGATATTTATAGTATGGTTGATTATTGCGGTTTAAACGCGTTAACATATATTCTGAGTATTGACATGGAACTCTAATTGACTAGAACGAGAACAGTTCAACTGAAAAAGTAAGTATTTTGATTTTTAAATATAAAATTTACAACCTTTCCTCATTTGTGAGTTGTTTATTTTTTTCTCTTTGTTTGTCTGCTTTAGCTATCAGTTTCTCTTTCAATTCCATTTGCTTCTCTGCAATTTCATTCTTTTTGTTGTCTATTCTCTCCTCGCTCTTTGTCCTGTCCCTCTTTTTGTCAGACCACCACCTCTTCTCTTTTACCGGAGTCTTGTCTTTTTCTGCAGTCTCTTCGACATCTTCTTGGGGTAATTTTTCATACTTGTACCCCCTCGGTCTCATGAGAGGTAGTTCGAGTTGGGTTACTATTTTCTGGGCGCATCTGAAATTCAGAAACACAGTATCAGAAACGCTAAATTTTAGGGACTGTACAGCATATGTAATGGCCATCTTCTGTTTTCCTAACGGAAACTTTCAATTTTTATACCCATATTACAAAAAAAAAATGATTAATAGGTGTCAGAAATATAGGCCCAACATATTTTAATGGAACAAACTACATATTTGAAACGGTATCTTGCATTTACATTGTACAGGGTGTCTCATAATTAGCTGCCAACCCTGAACAGGCCGATTCTATGATCAAAACTAAGTAAAAAAGTTCATATGAACATGGGTCCGAAAATGCTTCCTAAGGGCACAGGGACCCATTGAAGAGGGAGGAATGGAAATCATTTTTTTGCAATATCTCTCAATCGCATTGTGATAAATGAATGAAATTTGGTATACACAGCTAAATTTTGATGAGCAATTTGATGGACTAATCCATTTATTTCCACAAGGTCCATTGGGGTGGGTACGGGGGGGCCCTTGGTACTTTGCGTGTGTAACTTTTTCATCATTGATTTTTTAACAAATTGGACAGCAAATTCCGTTTTCCCGAACTGTTTTACGATAAAAAGGTACTCTTGTTTCAAATCGTTATCTTTAACGGTTTCTGAGAAAATCGCTCTTGAATTAATCCCACTTTGGTCAATTTCATAGTAATTTAAACAAAAAATAATAATAATAATTTAATACGTAATCAGTAATACCCTGTATAAGTCTATCTATAAGATGAGTTCCAAAGTAAACAGGACTTTTCAAAAATAAGTATTTCTAGTGATGCCATCTATTGACAATTACATGCGTCGGAAAATACTTTACTGATGTACTGTCAAAATTTGATCACATTTGAACGAATAGCAGCAGAGTAAATTGCGTCTGAATTGTCAGAATGTATCGTCGGTAAAAAAAATTAGCATCGAACAAAGAGCTAATATTAAGTTTTGTTATAAACTTTTACCGAAGCGATGAACCAAGAGCATAAGAGTGCATAGTGGTATACGCGGTTTAAAAACGGTCCTGAGGACATAAATGATTAGCAACATGTTGGTCAACCGAAATCCGTGATCACTGCAGATTCCATCAAAAGCAGCGTGAATTCATCAAAGATCAGCCAAAATCTTCATTGAAATTCAAGGAATTGGAATTGAAAAACTTGTTTCACACAAGTTGACCAACCAAACACCAAAGTGCTGAGTGGAAGGCGCCAGACGAGGCAAAACCCAAGAAATCTCATTTGGAGAAGTCAAAATTGAAGATGATGTTGATTTGCTTTTAGGATTTCAAGGGCATTGTCCACAAAGAGTTCGTTCTACCGGGTCAAACTGTTAATGTACAATTCAATCTTTGCGTTTTGAAGCGTTTGGTGCATCGTATTCGTCGTATGAAAGAGCCAGTGACTGTGGGTTACCATTTATGTTAAAGAGACGTTAGAATATCGCGCAGATCCGCAGAAGGAAGTTGGCGTTGGTTGCACGACAATGCGCCATCTCATTGATCGATACTTGTGATCGATTTTTTGACAAGAAAATCGCATTTTAACTGTCAATCGCTCCCCGTATTCGCCTGATTTAGCACCGTGTGACTTTTACCTTTTCGAAAAAATTAATTTGAAAAGGAAAGGATAGCGTTTTGTGGATGTAGAAGCCATTCAAATGATTTGTACTGAAAGATGTCTTGTTTACTTTGCAACGCACGTTGTATAAACCCAATAAGACAGTCTTATCACATTATTTTGGTTATGTATCTCGCTTACTCACTGCTAGACAAATGAAAAAAAAATTGTAACATTGACAAAATTAGCTGGCCCTATCAGGTTTTATATTATTACAGTACAGATATTACGTATAGTTTTGTTGTTGTGAGGAACACGTGCGCTGAATCCGAATCTGGCAGCAGCATTGCTCTATCACGTCAGGATTTTGAGATATCCTAACCTAAAAGTGCAAAAAATACTGTTTTTCGTCATATTTGAGAATATGTAGTAATGCCATCTATTCTTTTTCAAAAAACTAATACATTGAATCTAAAAGTACAAGGCTCCCTCCTTCGAATGCCGTTGAGTTTGCTCAAATATATATTTTTTTTTTCGTTGAGATATCACATGTTGAAATTTTTAAGTATCTCAGTTTCTTAATATGCGAAAATCTACTAAGGATCCCTTAGACATCAAGCAATCGATTGCAATTCAGATCAGAAACTTCATACCCATACGGTTTGTGGGTTTGGAGTTGGTGGGTTTGTGGATCTGGAATTTGTGAATTTGAGTTCGTATGTATTAAAGGTTTCTGAGTATGAAGTTTCTGAACTGCAATCAACTGTTTGACGTCTAAGGGATCCTTGGTAGATTTTCGCATATTAAGAAACTGATAAACTTCGAAATTTCAACATGTGATATCTCAACGAAAATAAATATATATTTGAGCAAACTCAACGGCATTCGAAAGAGGGAGCCTTGTAATTTTAAATTATATGTATTTTTCTTTTTTTGAAAAAGAATAGATGGCATTACTACATAACCTAAAATATGATGAAAAACAGTGTTTTTTGCACTTTTAGGTTAGGATATCTCAAAAACCTGACGTGATAGAGCAATTCTGCGGCCAGACTTGGATTCAGCGCACCAAAATCCTTCGGGAATGCATATTAGTGAGTCTGCTTCTTGACCTTTGTTGATCTGTGTAATTGAGGAGTTTAATGTAAAACAGTCAGATTGAATCACTTTAGGCCACAGTTTGCTTTCAACCCTTGGGTAGGAAGGCTTTTGTACTAAATTTCTTGATTGAATCATATATTCTTGGTATTTCTGAAACTATGATTTCACATCTCATACCCTTTCTTTAATAAACTGGCTCTTGCTCCCTTCTAGGAAAATTCCTGTCTACGCCCATGTTTGAAAGTCATACTCTCTAATAATTCTATTAAATTATTTCGAGCAAAGTTGGTAGGATTTTGTATGACAAATTAGATGAATGTAAGAAGAAGGATCTTAATCATTCATCACATCCTTTTATGATATACAGGGTGTCCCGAAATTCATGCAACAAAATTTGGTCACAGATTCTCAGGACAAATTTAGGGGATCCGTATTTTTTATTTTTGCCAAGTGGCCCCCTCTTTCGGAGTTACAGCCCCCTGAAGTCCGCCCCTAAGAATAATCTTATTTTTAATATCTCAGAATCCTGTTGTACGAGAATCACTAAATTTGGTACACAGGGGTTTTATGACATGTTGAATCTGATGGTGCAACGTTTTTTGGCGGGGAACCCCCTTAAGACTTTTTTCGTGGGCCCCCTTGTCTTTGAAGCCAAAAAAAATTTGGTCGCATATTTAAATTTCTTAAAAATTATCAGTCCACTAGAAAGCCATTAAATTTAGAAACTTTTTGTCACTTTATACTTTTTTCGTAAAACGCAATGTTTTCGAGAAAAATGTTAAAATGTGATCGAATGCATATCGTGATTCTCTATTTTCCTCAAAAACATTGCGTTTTACGAAACAAATATCAAGGGACAGAAAAGTTTATAAATTCAATGGCTTTCTAGCTAACTAATAATTTAAAAAAAAAAACAAATTTGCGACCAAATTTTTCTGGTTTCAAAGACAAGGGGGCCCACGAAAAAGTGTCTTAAGGGGGTTTCTCGCAAAAAAGCGTAGCAATGTGAGATTCCACATGTCATAAAACCCCTATGTACCAAATTTAGTGATTCTCGTACAACATGGTTTTGACATATAAAAAAGACTTCTTAGGGGCAGATTTCAGGGGGCTGTAACTCCGAAAGAGGGGGCCAGTTAGCAAAAGAAAAAATACGGGTCCCCTAAATTTGTCTTAACTGGCCCCCAGTTGGCAAATAGAAAAAATACGGATCCCCTAAATTTGTCTTGAGAATCTATGACCAAATTTTGTTGCATGAATTTCGGGACACCCTGTATTACGGAATATTGTCAACACTTGCTAACTTTTTTGGTTTTAATTTATTTTCATACGGAGCCTTATATGCCTTCACCCTGTGCTGCATTTTGGGCAGAGAAAGTTACATTATAAGTTATAAGTTATAAGAATTTAAATAAAATACACCTACCAACATACACCGTGCCCACCTAGTGCGCGTAAGTCCAATATCTAGGTTAATAAAAGATATAACTTTTTTTTTTCTACAGAGTTGCCTACATTCCCGAGCTGCACAAAATGAAAATATATTTGCATATACAGGGTATTCAGTTTTTCCTGGGAAGGTAGGCACCAACTTAATTTTTTTAAATGGAATCCTATATTTTTATGGCATTATCGAATTCTACGCGAAAAATTAACGAGACCTTGTTTTATGATCCCTATTAAAATATTGATAGTTTTCGAGATAATCGACTTTTCATTTTTTTTCTTGTTTCGTCACTTCTAGTAGTTGACATAATTATGATTGTATGACAGCTAGAAATTATTTGTTTTCAGGAACTGTAGAGTGAAGATGGTTCTTTCAGAAAACGTATCAAAAGTTGACCTGCGATATACAGGAGGCAAAAAAATCGTGCCGAACCTGAATAATTTAAAATTTGAAAAGTCTCGACTTTTTCAAATAGAACACCCTGTGTTTTATGATTTCATTAGATGCCTTTCTGTAGACCATACAGTATTTTAATAGCTAATAGCCTAAGTTGCGTAGTTTTTGCAAAAAAAAACATTTTTATGTAAAATACCGGATTTGCACCCGTTCCTTTGTCGGGAAAAATATTGTAAGATAAGTTTACCACATGTACCAAATAATTTCAAGATGCATCCTAATTCATCAAGTATTCCTTTAAAAGAAGGAAGATGTACAGGGTTGAAACCCTACAAATAGAGGGACCTTCTCCCCTCCCAAGGCGATATTTGTGGACATTCATAACGAAAAAAAAATATTAACAAGGCACATTTGTTTATATTACCAAATCCCTGTATGCTAGTTCTATATTTTTGAAGTCCGATGCTCGTTTGTTTTTGGAACATACGAAGAAAGTAAATCTAAAAATAATCGAGAAGTTACACTTATTATATACGATCCTGTACATCATACGTAGTGTTAGTATTTTATAATCATTTTTAAGATAAGTTTAAATTATATTTTTATCTATAATTTATTAATTGAATTAGTGATATACGCCTAGTTTCGGTTTATCTTAACAGCTTAAAATGTAATTAATGGATGACCCTAATTTTTACTTTTTCCAAATTATACGCACATCATTCTACGTGACCAACTAGTAGACATAAAATTTATGATATCGTCTAATGATATAGATAAAAATTTATTAGTTATATTTTCAGATAAATATTAATATTTGTTCATATTACACTTTGTAACGTCACTAGATGATGTCAAATAATTATGATATAATAATTAGGTAGGTAACAGGTAATTGAAACTAATGGTAAATTGGTATTTGTATATTTGTATAAAGGAATTAACTTATAATACACTCTTTTGAAGACAAATTTGTCTCCCTATTTTGTTTTAAGGGAAGACAACTTTTTTATCTTTTAACTTTTTGACTTTGTTATTTCCTTTTTATCTTTAATTGTTTAGGAAATATTCATCAAATTTTGTCTAAGATATGACCATATTTTGATGTGGTTCATTGACTAGTTTTAAGTAAAAAATGGCTTTAAGCTAGGTTTCAAATTTGGTAACCTAATAGTCTAGAGAAGAAAATAGCCGGTTAGTCTACCTGCCAGAACAATCTACCAGAAAATACGAAAACTAATGAGAATAATTAAGGAAAATTATAAAATACTATCAATCTGTATCTGAAAATAAAACGTTTCCATTTCATACGTACTTTTTTTCAAATTTGTGGTAAAATAATCATCTAATTTTATTGATGGAATATTACTTAGATTAAACAAATGAAGTCTAGTTCACTAAATCGTCCATTGTCATCTGTTTCCATAATGGAGGAATACTTATCCTAATAAATAATAGCCACTATAGTCACCTTATTCTTGTAGAAGCAGGAGGGGCATTATGAAGAGGACTCTGTCCAGGCAGCTCCCTAATGGGCGGCAGCCTGTTGACGTGGTTTTTTTCCGGTCTACAGTAGTCCTGCAGTCTCATCTTCATCGCGTGCTGCTGAGACCTACGGATAGCACCTGTGGCGGGCTGTCGTGGGTATGCACCTAGACAGTGACCCCCGCAACACACTGATCCTGGAATAAAATATGTGTACATTTAACCACCTGAAATCTGAATATGGATCTACTTTGGAACATAATCAGAAAATGAGTGAAACAATAGTCCATTTTAATTTGCTTCATGGTTTGCAGTCACGATCGAAAAAAGGATAGGTACTTGATTGGTTGAATGTAGTTTGTCGTTAGCTTTTGTCCAATTATAATTATGAACTTGTGGTCCAATGAAGTTGGGTACGAAATCTATTACATAAACAAATTAAAAGAATAGATTAATATTTTAAAATATTAAATTTGGTATTAGTTAAACTTTAAATGTTATTTGCTTTCCCTTACTGGAAAATATATTACACACTCTTACGACGCATTGTGAAACTTAGTATTATGTTGGCGTCTGGATATAAAGGAGAAAAATGATAAAAAATATTGCAGACGTTATAAACAATGTCGGTAAAATATTTCAACAATTAGTTAGGACAGGACTCTCCCATTTATAAATGGGAGAGACCAACTATGACAGCAAAAATACTAAAAACAAAATAAATGTGAACGTATTACGTCGCTCTTCTTTTACCAATGTAATGTTTTCTTTGAAAGATATTAACACATCTTCATGGAAACTGTCCCGTGTCACAAATTTATTATCTTAGAAAATAGTGAAATATCCTGGCTCTACTCTTTATTACAAAGTTAACTGCAACACGTTACCTTTACTACCGTCGGAAGAACATGATGTGGAAGAAATTGAGGATTCTCCGCTGCTAACACTGTACAAACTGTCCGACTGAGGCACCGAAGATGATCGAGACGTCATAGAATAGCCACTTGCTGATGTTGGAAGGATGGGACCTGTCTAAAATGTAAAGAAATACAGATTTATCATAAACAAAAATCTAAAAAATATATCTAAAATATGGTGTCAAACAGAAACGTGAGATAGCATATATAATTTTAAACAAAATGTTTTCTAAATCGAAAAATCCTTAGTAAAATAGCTACAGCGTGTTAGCTACCAAAATTTTTTTTAAATATGTAATTCCAAAATGGTATTAGATTCAAATGAAACTCGGTATGGGTTTTATCGTTGACAAAGGTTTTTCTATATAAAAAAAATTTTTGTGTCTTCTAAAGCTGTCTAATAGCCTACTAGTATGTGGTTTATTTTTCATTTCTTGTATCTTCAAGTGGTACAATTATTACGAAATAACAGATTAGTAAAAAATTTAAATATAAATAATGTCATCACCACTTCTCTTCAAAGTAATTAATTAATCTCGATAATAAAATGTTTGGACCAATCTGTAACAAGGTCTTTCAGTATGCCACAGAGACCTCGAATTTAAAAATGTCATTAAATACATTTTTTTCTGCATAATTTTCTGATAACGTGTTAGTAAGACATGAAAGGTCAACGTTGGGAAAAGTTTATTGCACGAAAGCATTAAGTAGGTTTGCTGATAAGTGAAGGACGTTATAAATGTTTACATTTAAATTGCTACTGAATGCAAAATATAATTTTCATATTTTTTTCCTGCAGAGAAAATTCTGTATTCAGCAAGAAAATTATTGCTTATTGCAATAGCATAATTAATAACTTTTTATTTATTTAATTAAATAATTATAAATAATGGAAATCAATAAAAAAACTTCCCCACTGTTGTCACTTTATAAAATTTTAAACATGGACATTAACATTTGGGCTACCAAGATATTTTATCAACGCGGACGACCAAGGGGGTACATTTTGTACCCCAAATTTTTTTCAGTTTTTGTGAAAAAAATCTACTTCATATGAAAAAAATACCAAATGGTGATGAAATTTTAAAAATACGAATACTATAATAAATTTAAATCTATTTTAATTGCAACTGTTGCAGTAATTGACTTTTTTCTGCTGACCATGAAAAAATTCTTTCACTTTTCACAAAAAAAAACTAGACTTCTTGTCAATTCTTCTTGGGCAATAATCGCAGCGTCCAAATGTGCTTCCTGGGATTGGCGGGATAGGTGCGTTTTCCTGAGGTAGCACTTGTCTCATAGCATTTACTACTCTTCTCGGTATACCTTGTAAATTTGTCATTCTTCTGGTTACATGTGGTTTTATGAAGTCAAGTCTGACGTCGAGCAAAAAGGATCTCCATTTGACCGTTTGGTTTTCTTTCCAATTTGGAAATTTTATTTTCCATAGTGCATGTCTGTCTGCCTCCTCATCCAAATCAAACTTACGTTTTAGCATTTCTTAGGATTGCAAATCTAAAGAAACGCACACTTTACATGTTAGGAGAACAATAAACATGCACTTCAGTTGCAGAGCACAGTTCAAGGTTACACATATGTGATGATTTCGTCGAGAACTGCATATAAACATATTTTGCAAAGCGAAAACACCAAACACCAAACGGGGTACAAAATATACCCCAGCCAACAAAATTGATTATAACTTGAAAAATATTACTTGTAAATGACCAATTACAATGCAATATGTTCACTAAGGTATTTTTCGAGGTTTTGATAAAAGGACAAAATGTTTAAAAAATTATTCGTCGAAATACACGTGATTTCGTGCGTGTGGGATACATAATATACCCCCTTGGTAGCCCGAAGGTTAAAGATAACTTAACAGCTGTGCCAAAACAGGATTGCCCGCTCTCAAATTGATTGTCAGCGGTTAGAGCTTCCAGAAGATAGATACAGCTATCTATATCTAATATTGGTTATAAGAACTGGTTTGTAAATAATATACACCTACTTAGCAATAGTGTGCAACTAAAGCAGAAATATTGAGTATGAAATAGAAACAAATAAGTTTTGGAGAATGCCAAGACAAGTTTATTGAAAATATTTTAAAAAAAGTAATTTTTTGTAGTTTCTTAAACAGTTTTAGCAAATTCTACGTTCAATTGTTCTAAACGTCAATATCACTTTTTTAAATAGCATTTTCCGATTTCCTTTTTAGAAATCCGTACTACTTCTTGAACTTGTAATTTTAATTCTTAGTCAAAATTTACAGAATTGACAATTCTACACATCTCCTTTCGGAGCAGTTGTCCTCCTTTCCAGTATCCTTCATGGTAGCAGGATTGTAAAAGCTCTATTAGAACCGTCATAGAAATGAGGCTTTTACTTAGATGATTGATGATTTTAATGATGGTGAAAATTTGATGACTTTAATAGTTAGGCATATCAGTAAATATATTTTTTGTCCATTAATGTAGAGACAAAAAGAACCCTAAGTTGGACTCAGCGACCCGAAAAACCATTTAGTTACTTTGGTTGCCTCCGCTATAGTGGATTTTTCTGTTTGACCTCCGAATGACCTTATAATGACTTTGAACCTGATGTAACAAGGCCAATCAGACCTGGGATTCGGACCCAGCGACCCCAAAAACATATAATAACCACGGTTGCCTCCACCATAGGGGATTTTTCTCGGTTTGACCTTGAATTGACCTTTAACCTGACCTGACAAGATCAAACGTACCTCGAATTCGGACTCAGCGACCCCAAAAATATATAATACCCATGGTTGCCTCCACCATAGGGGATTTTTCTCGGTTTCACCTTGAAATGACCTTTAACCTAACCTGACAAGGTCAACCGGACCTCGGATTCGGACTAAGCCTTGAAAACATAAGAATATAGTGGTCTAGTCCGATGTTCAGATTTTTTTTTGTGGGGCTGTGTTATCTATCTCTGAACGTTTATCTAACATCTAACTTTAGACTACCGATTTTTTAAACTTTTCCACTGTTAAAACCACTTGAATTGTACAAAATATTAATTTTTTGATTAAACTAATATTTGTAGATTTGATATAACATTGCCATTAAATTAATTAAAATTATGATTTTCCTGTAAATTAGGTCCCAACTTTACTCATAGAACGAAAAGGGTATGAGCATACTTATACACAACTAACTAAATCGTAAAAAAAGTTGGAGTTTTTTCAAAACACACTCAATATTATTACTTTTGTTATACACTTATATAATAACGGAAAGAGAGGGGATGTAAAAAGTTAAATGTAAAAAGTCAAAAAGGTAAAAATCAAAGGATACCTACCTTAAGTCGAAGTATTTTTGCTCTGCAAATAACACACCTCAGTGGTAGAAGTCGTTGAGAAACTGCTATTTGTATGGTTTTCACAAAACATTTTCTGCAGACGACTTGATGCCCACATGGCGCTGTTTGCATTGTGGCTTTAGCGTTTATACAAATCACACACTGAAAATGATAAAATATCGATAAAAATATTACAAACCCACATTGTTAATATAGAATTTATATACATCTTGAAAGTTAACTCAAACTGACGTTGAATGTAACATAATATTAAACGAATTCAGTAGTAACAAATTGTCCATGACCTTCTTCCCTTAAAGTTGTCATTAATGAAATGTACAAACTATATACGTACTTTTAAATTTAAAAGATTTTAATCTGAAATTATGGTAAGTATGTATTTAATGATAAACATTATTAAACATGTTATTAGAATATATAAATAAGTGCGAAAAATTTCAGAGAGTGATTTCCTGTCGAAAAGTAAGGTGGGTCTTTCATATAAAGTCTCATTTGAACATCCCCTATGAAGATACAACCGCTTGAAGAGGGTGCCAAAAAATAGTTTTTAATTTTTTTTCTGAAAAACCAAAAAAGTTACAGAAATGCGATTAAATAGACATTTTCTGCTATCGAGAAGGCACTCAGTAAACAATTTATTGATTTTCTCCTATAATCTGTTTATAAATGAAAGAGAGTAATAAAAGCTTATTATGTATGCAAATCGTAAATAAATGTAGTACTGGTGCTCATATTCAATATTTTTATATTATGTATTATCGGCATAGATTAAAAAAACTTTGTGCGATCGGACTGTATTAAATTGTAGCAGGTAGCTAAAATTTAATCCCCGACAATCCGTCTTTGTTTATGCCGCTTCAATTTCTTGGTCCATTTCCCTTATAAGTAAACAATATAAAAACAGCATTTCAAAACATGAGGCTACTTTAAGCATCATAACCGGGTTAAGAGGGTTTTTAGTAATTCGAATAAAATTATTCAATATTATTATCAAAATATTTATTTAAATTTAATGAATAGACTTTTATTCCACACAAAAATATATGTATTTTGAAAATTCAAATTATGGTGAGTAAATGTAGTGTTGTATAAATGTACAATAAAGAAAATAAAAAAGTAGGTATATTAAAATTCATCCTCTGAATATTCTGATGAATTATCTTCGTCTCCTAGATTGATAACGATAGGTTCCACAGTAACGTCAATTAAATTATCGAGTTCCCACATTTTCTCCTCTTCTTTTTGTACATGATGTATACATCTTTGCCAGTTATCTGCAGTTACTCGTTCCAAGGAATTTTTTAACAAAATTTTCACGTCACTTAATTTAAACGTCGTATTATTTCGCGCTACATCTCCTTTTACCTGCGCCCAGACTAATTCGATTGGGTTAAGTTCACAGTGATAAGGTGGTAACCGTAGTACCGTTATTTGGCGATTTGTTGCCATTTCATCGATAACATATTTTTTCTGATCTTTATTAAGATTGACAAGTGTCAAAAGTTCCTTTTTCACCATATTTGTTTCAAAAGAAATGTTTTTTCCGGATAACCATTGAATTATATCGGCTTTCCTCCAAGCAGTCGTAGGCGTCCGCTCGGTCTGCCGTGAATGGTAACTGGCATTATCCATGACAATTACAGACCCCGGAGGAATAAGATCCAACATCTGTGTAAAATACTCTTCGAAAACATCTGCGTTCATGTCTTCGTGATAGTCACCTGTATTTTTAGATTCAAATAAAAGTAAACCGCCATCTACAAAACCACTGGCACTACCTATATGTGTCACTATTAATCTTCGCCCTTTACCTGAAGGTGCCTTGAACCCTGTTGAAAGTCCATCCAAAAATGCTTGTCGAAAACTTTTTACATTTTTATCTTGCCATACTTTTGTTACAGTATATCCCTCGTTGACCCAAGTTTCGTCTAGATAATAAATATTCCTCCCTTCGTCACGGAATTTTCTAATTGATCTTAAGTAGGATCTTCGCCAACAAATAATTTCATCTTTATCGATAAGAACTGACTTCCTGTTCTGCTTTTCCCAGCAAAAATTCAACTCTCGTAAGACGGCCCATAATTTGCTTCTACTGATTTTTGGCAAATCGTTGTCCTCTGAAAGTTCACTTAAAATTTTGTTTAGCGTTGGTATTTCTTTTTTAAAATAAAATGAGTGTACTTTTCTGCGAATGACATTTTTGAAGAAATCATCTATAACGACTTTTGACCTCCCTGTAGATGATTTTGGGGGATTTACAGTATCTTGTTCATTTTTTGTTTCCTTTAAAAGTCTGTAGATAGTCGATTTTCCAATCCCTGTCATTTTTGTTAGCATTAGTGTTACCCGATAATTACCTGAAACGAAATATTACCACGCCCATGGCCGGTTCTTATCTCGGGGTTTTATTACTCTCTTTCATTTCCAAACAGACTATAGAGCTGTATTACTCTTATACTGTATATATAAAAAAAATTCTGTAGAATCGACTCTTAAACATTTTAGAGGTGTATTCCGGTTCTTAAATATGACCATATTTCCCAAACAATACATACAATGTGATTAATTCATGTTTTTTTTAACTGCTCGATATAATATAAAATAATCAAAATTGGTCGTTAGAGCAAAATGAATTGTTCAGACCGTGTTTGTTCTTAATTAATCCTAAAAACAACAAAACCACGCTAATGCAGGATGCGCAATCATAATGAATACGACAACGTGCCGCAAAGCTGAACATTTAGTGCTTGACCACTGGCCTGTGAAGGCCGTGGGTTTGCCAATATTCGGGAGTTTTAGAGGAATGTTTTGACATTCCCATTTCAATAAATCGACCTATCAAAAAAGCGCCACGGTCAAGACCGCGTCACAAATTTTAATCCATTTAACCAATAACCAAAGAAGAAAAAAATTAAAGGATAGAATGTCTGCGGGTAATTGAGAAAAACAGAAAACAATACGGGCAACATTAAATTACATTTCATGGATTAGGCATTTATTTAAAAACTAGGGCGTAATAGATTTTGTATTAGATGAAATCAGCCGAAAATTGTGTGTTACAAATTAAGTTATAAATAAAATATGCGATAACAGGTATTTTATTATTACGCACTACTGCCCAAAATGAAATGAAGTTATTAATTATTGATTATTTGCCCGCTTGTATCAGTAAGCACTATTTTAAAATATAAAGTACTATTTGAATCAAATTGCGTGTTAAATGGTAGATCGAAGTTATACAGGGTGTCCCAGAATAACGTGTACAACGGAATTCGTGGACTCAAAATAGGCAGATTTAGGCTAATTCGCCTATATATAAAATCGCTTCGTTTGGACGCTAGATGGCCTCAAAGTTCGTGAAATTTTTTTGAATTTTGTAAATAACTCGAATATGTATTAATCGATTTTGATTATTTTTGTGGTGTGGACTTTTGCTTTCAATCTACAAATATTAATGTTATACAGTGTTGTTTAAAACAACTCACAACTCCTACAAAATTGAGATATGGTGATAATATCAGTTATTGGAACCCTTATAGAATTTTGAGTAAATAAGCGGTTTTGCAAAAATTCTAAATAAAATTCCCCATTCAGTCTACTGGGTAGAATAACACGGTCAATAATTATGCTATCCAAAACAAGATCTTATAGAAACTGAAATTATATAATAAATTAACATCAACCTACAAAATCAGGGCACTTTGTAATATGGTGGTAAGATAATGTATACATTTAAAAAATATTTTTTTGTACCCAAACCGCTCATTTAATCAAAATTCTACAAGAGACCCAAAAACTTTCAAACCTATCAAATAAAAAATAGTTGTCATTATTGCCCGAAAGAGGAAAAGTTATGAACGGATACACCAATTTTGTAGGAGTTGTAAGTTTTAAAAAACACTCTGTATAACAGCAAAATGTGTAGATTGAAAGCAAAAGTCCACACCCCAAAAATAATCAAAATACCTGAATTATTTACAAAATTCAAAAAATTTTCACGAAATTCGAGGCCATCTAGCGGCCAAACGAAGCAATTTTAGATATAGGTGAATTAGCCTAAACCTGCCTATTTTGAGTCCACGAATATGTGGTCTTCCATTGTACACGTTATTCTGGGACACCCTGTATACAGATTCTTTAAAAATGTTATCAACAACAGATTTATTTTGCCACTTTCAGAATTATGAATTTAATAAGATTATGTTTTATTTTTCTAATATTTCAATTTATATAATAGTTACATTAATATTAACATTAACATGAACATTATTGTTCTTATTTTCATTTTTAATATGAGAAGATTAACTACTAATGCAGCTAGATTTAAGGTTTTGTTGTTCTTACTTATTTCAACCCCTTTAGAGTATTTTTATTTGCCGTTTCAATTTTATTTGCCTTTTTCTACGGAAGACGACGTCCTCTCATTGCAGTGTTTAAAGGTCTAATAATCTCCATCTACATTGACTCTATCTTCACAAACAAAATTTTTAAATCACATTTATTTTAAATCAAATGGATGCACATTCCCAAAACTTATTCTTAGCCAGTACAAAGTTGACAATCTTTATTCAGTCCTTCTATGATCTATGATTTTATCTTTCAGAACAGTGAATTATATGACAAATTTAGATATATGCCTTTGCAAAGCTCAATTGAAATGTGTGATTCGTCTGCTTCTAAAACATATTAGAAACCTAGTAGGTACATGTTTGCTCTTTTTTCCTTTTATATTTTTTTGTATGATTGTTTTTTTTAATATAGTTTTTATTGTATCTTACTTTGTTTCAGTAGTTTGACTTTTGCTATTGGACAGTTTTATACAGGGTAGCCCATCGAAAACGTACCGCAAAGCATTACAGGGTAGTAATGAAATTTTCGGCAAAATCCAAAAACAGTTAAAGTTTGCTTCTGAGGGGGACAACTTTTGGCGCAAAAATCATAGCAAAATCTTCAACCCCCTAAGTGGGGGTGCTATCCTCTAAATTTTTTCAAATGGGAATGGGGGTCAAGTGGGGGGGTCATTAGAAAGGGCTTTTAATTCTCTATACATCGATTCTTACTTTTTGAAAATCGATCCATTATTTTAGAAAATATGCAGCTTTGAAAATACGAACAATATTTTTGACGAGAAATGCGAAAATCGATTTAATTTTACTTCAAAACTTACGGTATTAGCTTGGTAAATTCCTTCAAAAGAATTCGCTGTTTTTTTTTTTGATTTGCGAATTCTTTAGCCTGATTTTGGTGAGCAAAAAATTGTCCGCTTTTTGTTTCGTATTTAGATAGGCCACAAGAAGTTGCTAGATAACTGTCTTGTGACTTGTAGTTGAAGAGTACCAATACTGCCGAGTCTTTTAAATTGATTAATTATGGTGTACTCAATTCCAGAAAGAGTAGAAATTATTGAGCTTTTTTTCAAAAACAATGAATGCGGAAATCGGGTCGCCGAACTGTTCAACCAACGGCATCCTGAGAAACATGCGTCTGGAAAAATTGTTCGCGAATTGGTGGCCAAATTTCGCGAAACTGGCTCCGTTCATAACAAAAAGAGGCAGGTTGAAAATCCGGTACTAAATGAACCTACGGAAATAGCGGTATTGGGGCAAGTGGCAATGGATAGTACGCTGAGTACAATGCAATTGGCTACTGCGACAGGAGTGAGTCGTACAAGTGTCCAACGAATATTAAAAAAATACAAATTCCATCCTTATAAGATTCGGCTAGTGCAAGAGCTAAATGAAGACGATTTTGATCGTCGTTTGCAATTTTGCGAAATAATGACTGAACGAGCGATAAACGATAATTTCCTCTTTAATGTGTGTTTTTCGGACGAGTGTACGTTCTTCTTGAATGGTTTAGTGAATCGCCATAATTGTCGTTACTGGGCTGATACCAATCCAAGGATTTTCCATGAGACACACTCCCAACACCCCCAGAAGTTGAATGTATGGGCAGGTATTTTTGGAAATTCCATTGTAGGTCCTTTTTTCCTTCCTGGAAATTTGACAGGCGATATGTACTTGGATTTACTACAAAATGTCATCGACCCAGCTCTAACAAATATCATAGAGGACGACCCTGCTTACAATGAACACGAACTGATTTTCCAGCAAGACGGAGCTCCTCCACATTACTCGCTCAATGTGCGCAATTACCTAAATGAGACGTTTCCAGGACGCTGGATAGGACGAAGAGGTGCAATTGAGTGGCCCCCTCGGTCACCCGACTTAAATCCTTTAGATTTCTTTCTCTGGGGGCACATTAAAAGCAAAGTTTACAGCACTCCACCTGATACCTTGGAAGATCTGCGAGGACGAATCATTAATGTATGTCGCGAAGTAACACCGCAAGTGCTCCAGAATGTTCGACAACGGTTTGAAGACAACCTGTATCATTGTATGCAAGTTGGCGGACAACATTTTCAGCATTTACTTGACTAATACCGTAAGTTTTGAAGTAAAATTAAATCGATTTTCGCATTTCTCGTCAAAAATATTGTTCGTATTTTCAAAGCTGCATATTTTCTAAAATAATGAATCGATTTTCAAAAAGTAAGAATCGATGTATAGAGAATTAAAAGCCCTTTCTAATGACCCCCCACTTGACCCCCATTCCCATTTGAAAAAATTTAGGGGATAGCACCCCCACTTAGGGGGTTGAAGATTTTGGTATGCTTTTTGAGCCAAAAGTTGTCCCCCTCAGAAACAAATTTGACCTGTTTTTGGATTTTGCCGAAAAGTTCTTTACTACCCTGTAATGCCTTGCGGTACGTTTTCGATGGGCTACCCTGTATATTAAAATACATAAAATATTCATGTTTCTGTCTTTAATATGGAATATTTTTGACGGTACAGCAAATATTTTATTTGCATTACAGAATTATGCAACAGAACATCTTTAGTGATTGCTTCGTCTTCTAAGTCGGATAATTTTCTTTTTTAAAAGCTTCCAGTAGTACCAAGTCTTTTTAAATTTATCAAAAATGCATTTGAATGTATTAAACAATTTATTTGTCTCACCCACACAGAAAAATGAAGTCAATAAACAGTGTACTATAAATAAATATTTCGCAATAGAGCTTTATCCATGACCATCCAAATTGGGATCATATTATTTGACACTCATCAAGACATTACGTATAATTTGTGGTTACATATTTTGTAATACCCTGTAGAATCGATAAAAATCCATATCTAGTAAAAAAAACCTCTATTTTAAAATCGAACACTAAACTTTATTTTACATTTACATAAGGAAATTTTAGAATATATCTTGAGAATGTAATAGGATTTTGAAGTACTAAAATGTATGCTTACATAATGCAAACAATTATCCAGCAATTAATTTAGTGACTCGTACAAGACGGTGCTATTAAGTAAATTAAACTTGATTACTCTGGGTAGTGAATTCCCTTGCAGTTTAATCGCTAGAACATTAAAGGTAATGCTTTTTTTTCTTTTAAGTAAGGAAAATAATTTGTAAGCGTTTGGAGTTAGCAATGTGATGCAGTCTGAAAGAAAATGTCGAGGGAACGAAAGCAAAAATAAATATAGTAAAAGTTAATGCTAAAAGTGCTCATCTTAACTGAAAATGAAAGAATTTTCTTAGAATTTCAGCAGAAGAAAATCGGAATCGACAATAGCATAAACAAAATAAAATATAAAAAGCTAGTAAGAAAGGTAAGTCTTTGTTATCGCAATCTTCGGCATGAACAATTTTAAAACAGATGATACATTTTACTTTATTAGAAAACTTTTCTCAGTGATTTTTAATAAGATAAAGAATTTTCTACACTTTAAGGAAGATTCCTTAGGTGAAATTATTTAGATCAAATCAACTGGGTACAACTTCGCTTATCTAAAATGACCTACCACCTTTCAAAAAGAAAGAAAAATTCGTTTTTTATCTTCAAATTTAATCCAGAACACTTACTGCTTAGAAACAGTTTTATTTGTCATTTTTAAAAACCTTTATTAAAACGTCAGTGATCACAGATTTTTTAATGTAATGCCGCTGTCTTTTGAAGTTGGTTTAAATCATAAGAAAACATTTAATTTGGTTGCAAATTTAGCAAAATGGTAAAAAGAGATAAAAACATGGTAGAAAATAAGACCTTTACAGAGTTTTTCCTGAAAAATTGAATATGTATCGAGTTGCAACAAAATTTATTCCCCGTTTGATGACCGAACAATCGTGTGGACGATTGTCGGCAACTTTCCAATGACGATGAAACATTCATGCAAAGGATCATAATCAAAAACACATAACGCAATATTGACAAATGTACTCCCATGAATCGACTAATCCACGAGCATCATTTTTTACTAATTTAATTTATTTGAAACATCAAATATTATTTAATTATTAAAGAATACATTTCACTGTTATCACTGCTATTTTTATTTTACAACCCATTATTAGCATTTATTTACAAATAGAAAATTTTTTACTTTTTAATCAAAAATTGTTCACATTAGGATCCATGTTGTATAATACTCTTTTTTTTTATTATTTACAATTAGATGCAACATAACAATTGTTAAAATAGTCGATCCCCTTACACCCATATTATTTATACTTTAGTATTTGCTCACCTCTTCTTCTTGGCATGTTGCTAACTCAGGCTCACTTTCTTCTAGTTTACTTAATAGTTTGTCCTGCAACAAAAATTATTATATAATTTTTATTATAATATTGTTAGGGAGACTATATCAGGGTATCACCCATTATTCACCTTATAATTAAACAAATTTCGTATTATTACAATCAATATATTGATAATTGCAACTAGTTCAAAATTGCCTGCTTTTACAAATACGATCTAATTACGTATGAAATTGATATTCAAAAATAACATTCTGCAAAAGTTACAAAATTACGAATAAAACAATTATATTGTCAAACACAAACTTGTTCATGCAGTGGATAACTGTGTGCTCGTTATATTCACAGAATCATTGCTATGCGTATTATAATATGCATTGAAGTAACACAAATCGGTCATTTGCTTTATTTAATTGATGGAAATTAGTTTTCTCTAAAAATAATTAGTCTGACGTAAAATAGTAGGTTAGACAAAGAACGTGCTAACAATAGACCGTATCAACAAAAAGATATCTCCAAAAAGTTAATTAAAATGTTGTTAAATTCTTATTAACGAGCAATTTTTATTAATTTCGATACAGGTATGACAAAAATTTTTCTTAGACCAGTAAAAAAATTAAAAATATGGCAAATATCCAAATAGGGAAGAGGAGTACTTTTAAGGAGACAAGGATCAATAATATATAAAATAATATAAGTTAAAAAAAATGAAGTTCGGTTATTTTTTGAACAGACCTCTAACTATATTATTAGAAAATATCTATACTTTTAATTTTAGTTAATTTTCTCCTATTTTATTCACACGTTCTTTGTTAATGTTAATATCTCAAACACTAAAAGATAAAACTCATTAATTACCTCTTTCTTATGTAAGATACTATAAAATTAAGTAAAACTATAATCCAGGATACAGAAATACTAAATTTATGTAGGTACCTATACCTAGACAGTTATTACCTTTAAGTAAACGAACAAACTTGAAATTTATGAATCAAAATAATGTTTCCACGAAGCACGTTTTATATTAGCTACATTTATGTACGGTTGTAACATACAGCCTTCAAAATGAACATCAAAAACATGATCTAAAAAAGTAAAGTGGCATATTTATGGGTTATAAAGGTTTATTAAGGGTAATGCCCAGAAAGGTCAGATAGAAATAAACAGGGTGTCACAGAATAACAATTATTGAGACTAGTCACATTAAAAATGAGATTCTTAGTCCAAATTTTTTAATTGCATTTTTTCAAATATCCATGTTCCTTTTATTTTCGTAATTTAAAGCAACATTTTTATAAAATAAAAGCTTCTAACTTGTTGTTTCTTTTTGTTAACGTCTTCCAAGAAAATTGTATTTCATCATGAATTAAATTTGAATTGTTTGAACAACTCTACACTGGGTGTATGTAAAATGCTTAGCCAAACTTTAAGGATAGTTTTTTGTCACAAATTAACTAAAAAATGCACAAATTTTAAGAGGACATCCTTCAGATAAAAAAAAACAGAATCCGGAACAGCACCGCTTTTGAGATATGAACTTTCAAATAAATAAAATATATTTAGTCTGCTAAATATTCAATTACCGTAGATACACTGTAAAAATCGATATGAGTGAAAGCAATAAAGGTTCCGAGTGAATCTATTGAGTGAAATTATTGAGTACATTTTCACTTAATATTGGGCATTTTGATCATTTTATTCATTCGTGATTATATTTAAACTAAAACTGAGTACTTTCACTCAAATATAGATACTCCTTAAATAAATTCTACATATGCACTTGTGCCAAAATCAAAGTATGTGTCCTCATTACTCGTGCCGTGAAGATGGCACCAGTTACATATTGCTTCTGTAATCTCAACCACAGTTGATAGGGGCCCGTTAGATACTCCACAAAAGCGTGATTGCCAGGAGAATAGGCCTTAGCCGACAATGGCGGGTCTCAGCACTCTCAGCTGGCGGGTCTCAGCACTCTCAGCTGGCGGGTCTCAGCACTCTCAGCTGGCGGGTCTCAGCCAGGACAGGAGGAGGCCCCGTGAAGTAAATTAATTTCAATACTGTATATCCTAATTAATCATTTATGAGTGATTTATTTTTGCACTCAATATTTAGTTCATTAAAACTAAGTGCGAGTAAAAAATGACTGAATAATAGTTAAATTTAAATCATATTAGAGAGAAAGTCAACTCTAAATTGGTTTTATATACTCAGAATAAAGTCAAGAGTCACTCAATTGATAGTAGTAACTCGCATTTGAGTAAAGCTCACTCATTTCTGATGCAATAGTTTCACTCGGTTGTACTCATACTAATAGAGTGAAGTAATAGTGTGGACAGAAATTGATACATTATTGAGTAAAATTGAGTGAAATTTGAGTGAATTTTTTTTACAGTGTGTGAGGAATCAAATAATTTCGTAATTGTAGTCACAACGTAAATGTCGAATTGTCGAACAAATTGTGTAATCTGTTCCTGTCATGATTTTAGAATCAATTGCCTGAATTTCCATGACAATGTTTTTTGCGTGACGTTTTTTTCAAAGAATTTTAATTAATAGGTCAATACATAGAAAAGTTAAATTTAAAGAAGGTTAATATACATGAATAATAGCAAATAAATAGCAGAAAACCTTAAAAGTTAGCGCTGGTTTTCGAAGTATCGCCGTCAGCTTGCAAACATATCCCTAAACATTTTCTTAAAGTAATATTTTTTTATCTGAGAATGTTTATTTCTAATTTTATTTGTATCTTTTTTCAGCTTACCCTCAAATGTTCTGTTATTTTTTTATTTATTAGTGCTATAATAATGTCAAATAATATTTTTATCGCATTCGTGTCAATTCACAATATTGAAAAATATTTTATGTATACAAACAAATCGACCGAAAATTTTGGAAAACAATTCTCATTACTTTAATATCTCACGTACTTTACTCTTACTTTTAGTCAAGAAATAGTCCCATTCTGAAAGGGTAGGTTCTGTAGGTATCTTGTAAATATTTTCAATATTTATAATTTTATTAAGAAAATACTTCTCCATGGTCTTAGCCAACATGGCTTTATTCTTATCGGCCTCTTTTTCGATCTAGTTTGGACAAAACTACACACTGTGGTATACAAAGAGTGCCTTAAATAATAACCATTTTTTTATATTATCTCCATTTTGAATTAATTAAGTTACGGGTCTGTATTCATTTGAAGTTAAGCACACTGTATACCTAAGCCAGATTACATAACACTATAAAAAATATAGGCAATGCGGGTAATAAACATGATTTAATATTTATATAATTCGTTTTCTTGGGTAAGCAGCGAGCTTGAAACTTATCACGGTCAAATTTTGCGGCGGGTGCACCAGACTATAATAAACGAGTTAGCAAGTTCATCATTTTATTCTTTCTGTTGTCGATAGCCCGGCGGATGCATTCGTATAAATAAAAAATAACGACACGCGGAACTACAGTGTGTGACACTATGTGTTTACATAAAAATAATTGAGTGCGATCTAGGTACAGTGGGCATTGCACAAAATATTAATTAAAGCCTAGTTTACCACTACAGACACTTTGTTTGAAAACGCGATTACAGTGTTTCACGTGCGGATTTCAGTTGTTTTTCGAGGGTGTTAGTAAAGCGGGTCCCTTAAAGGATGTCTTTGGTGTCGCAAGTGCTAGGAATAATGTTCAATATCATGCAGATGCCCTTTTCTTTGCCGGGAAATGGCCGGGGCGTTCCGGATAAGGACGAGTTTTCCATTTTTCCTTTTAGTAGTTTGAGGAACTTGCCTGAACCGTGTACCACGTTTACTTTTAGGATGGGTAAGATGTTCTCATTAAATCACTAAAGCACTTTATCCCTAGGAAATACGAAAATATATAAAAGCAATTTGAAACGACATCAGACTAATTAATAGAGAAATTGACGAAGTTATATTGTTACATATATACATAATATACAACAACTGTAACTAGCTTCAATAAATTGGCCAGGAAATTTCAGAAAATAGAATTAGTTCTAATTAATTATTAATAATTACAAACAATAAAATTGTTAGTGACTAATATTTATTCAATAAGACCGATTTTAGTTAAGTACATTCCCCAATTCTGACACTTATTTTTATGAATATTTCAAGAATAAATAACTTACTAATATTTAATTTGGCATATTGATTTATATTTTAAAACTGGATTGCTTTAAATTTGGTCAATTTGTATAAAAAATTGTAAACTTAATGTGACAAATTTTTAATTAATTTCTGACATAAGGCAAATTTATATTTATTTGAAAAGTGAAAGAAATAAAAGCTAGAAGTTTAAAGTTGTTTTTAATCTCTTCAGTCACTGTTCATTGATATTGTACTTTGGCTGAACATCAATGAAGATAAATAATTTTAAATACACAGCTTGCTTTCACTATCTGCCTAAAGTATTGCCATCATTAAGGTATGCTGGTGCTATTATTGCCCACGGAATTTCAGAAATATCATTGATGTTTGATGAAACATTAGCATTTTATTATCTTCAAGTGCATATTTCCCCTCTTCATAGTCCAGAAATGTAAGGAAAAAATGAGCGAACTTTTTTCTCTGATATTTTTTTTACAGAAAAGTGTTAGTTTTGAGGTCAAAAAACATACGCAGCCACCAGCAACTTACAGTGTTTTGAGATATAGACATTATGTATATGATTTTTCTCGTTTTTTGATCAAAAATTGCCAGTATCTGAAAGAACATGCATTTTTTCGAAAAAAAGTTTCACATAAAAGTTGCTCATAGTTAAATGGTCTATAAAATTGCTTCTATGAAAAATTTCGTATTTTCCCAATTGTTTTCCCGTATTTAAATAAAGTACAGATAATGTGAAAATTAATGTTTTGTAGTCAAATAATGGTCAATTTATTCTTAAATAAAAAAAGTGAATTAGAAAAAAGAAAATTGCGGAAAATTCGTGGAAAACCTGATAAGCACACAGTTTTCCGAGGTCTGAATATTTGTAAGCATCAAAGGTTTCATTTTATAGGTTTTGGAGGGTGTACATAACAAATTAATTATGTGCTTTTTAATATTTTCCAGAGAAATCTGTCTTATTTTAAATATTTTACGATAGCGATGGAGCAGTTTTACTTAAGAAACCTAGATACGGAAGTCCATAAAAAATTGTTAAAAATAATAAATAAAAAAATTATATCAATATATTTTTTTTTATTATACCTTTGCAGCTCCAGAAAAATTCCTTTCATGTTGTCATCAAATTTAAATAAATAAAATTATAGATACGTTTGATGCTCATAAATATTGAAACTTCGGAAAACTACAAAAGATTTTCCAAAAATTTTCCAGAATTTTCTTTTCTCTAATTGACTTTTGTTATTTAAAAATGAACTGACCATTATTTTGACTCCAAAACATTAATTTCAACATCATCTGTTCTCTTTGAATTTTGTTTTACATTGTATATTAAAAAATAAAAATTTGTAATATACTGAAATTGAAAATTTAAATTTAATGACAATAGGAAAGGAATTTTTCTGGAGCTGCAAAGGTATAATAAATATATATCAACATAATTTTTTAAATTTATTATTTAAACAATTTTTATGTACTTCTATATCTAGGTTTCTTATGTAAAACTGTTTCATCGCTGTAGCAAAAAATTTTTAAAGAAAATAGATATTTCTGGAAAATATTGAAAAGCGCATAATTAATTCGTAATGTACCTACACCCTCGAAAACCTATAAAATGATACGTTTGATGTTTATAAATATTCAAACCTCGGAAAACTATATAAGATTTTCCAAGAATTTTTCGCATTTTCTTTTCTTTAATTCACTTTTGTTGTTTAAAAACGAATTGACCATTATTTTAACTCCAAAACATTAATTTCAACATAATCTGTACTTCATTTAAAAAATATACGGTAAAACTATTGGGAAAATCGAAATTTTCATAGGAGTAATTTTGAACAACTTTTATTTGAAACTTTAAAACAAAATGCGTCTTCATTAAGATATTGGCAGGTTTTGGTAAAAAAACGTGAAAAATCATATACATAATGTCTATATCTCAAAACACTGTAAGTTGCTGGTGGCTGCGTATGTTTTTTGACCTCAAAACCTACACTTTTCTATAAAAAAAAAACTCAGAGTAAAAAAGTCCGCTTAATCCGTCTTTTTATGTCTAACTTTCCTGGACTATTATAATTTAATTCCTATATGCAAATTATGTTTCCAAATTAATGACCGCCTAGGTACATAGTTATTTTTTTAAATGTTAAGGTTACTATAATTTTAGACCATGAAAAAAATTATTAAATCTAAATGACAAATTATAGGGAGGATATTATGTCAGAGCTTCACCTAAATATTTTGTTACTATTACATTTATTTAAATTCAACCAAATGAGTATTATCGGTTATTAAGGTTAATATTAGTTTAAGATTAAATTATATAGAAATCTGATGTAAGATATGTATTAAATATATATACATTGTGGCTTAATAAAAATCAGAATACCAATTTTGTTAATACGTAAAAGGAAACTTTATCAAAACGATACTCTATTTCTTTGTGCTCTATATTTCGATTACTTACTCAAACTGAAACATCAATAAAAATGCGTTCTGGTCTTAGAGGAAATATATTTCTATAAAGCGTTTTCAGTAATGTATTTCGATTTTAAAACGAAAGAGTGATTATAGTTGATTTATTATTTACTGCATTTATTTATGGGGACGTTAACTCTTTCTTTAGTCGCTTACAAATCGATATATTATCGAAATCAATACGCATTAAAACACCATTATCCATCCGAAACAGCAATCGCATCGGCCAAGTATGACAACTTCAAAGTATCATTCACCTATAGTTTTTGGCATTTCTCCACAACACACCTGGATGAGTGAGTCATATTCCTCTTAATTTGCACATTTCATATTGTATATTGAAGCTTAGTGTAAAGTATTAATATGTTTAGAGCCGTTCATTGTTTCTATAAGTAATTTGTTGATATTTTTTCTGTTTTTATGTATTTTGTCATCTGTTCAGAAAGAAAATTAAAATGATAAACATGAAATTAATTAACAGAACCAATTACATACCAACTAAAGTACAAAGTAAAAAAGCACCTAAACAGCGATTAATAATAATAAATAAAATTGCTGCGTAACATCATAGATAGTGTCAAAATATTGAGGTTATTGTTTTACAACGTCCATCAAAGGTTAGTTAATTTTTAGAATCTTTTTTACCTTTGCAATACATCATTATTGCAGGCAGTAAAATAATTAAATTAAGGAGTAAGGACATATCGCAATTTTATAAGCCAGCTACAAAACTTATAGATAAACATTATTAAATTGTATGGTATGGTAATTTATAGTTCTGTTAATGCTCTTTGGAATTTGCCTATTGTTTGATGTGTGTCATTCTCAACAAATTAAATTAACAGTGTAAATGCTTTTTAAGTACTGATATTACTAAAAATAGAAATAATGTTACTTTGTAAACGATTTATGATTGCCAGTTATAGGTACTTGAAAAAATGTAAATACAACAAATTTCTATTTTTGAAAAATAGATTAGACAAAATAAAATAGTGATTAAGAATGTTATTATGAATTGAATGCGGATATAAAATGTAATGGAGGGGTAAAATAATTGATTTGAGTTAGCCTAATCAAATACAAATTATCAACCAACATATAAAAGATTACCTTATCTCAAAAGATATCGACTTTCAAATGAGAGTAAGTTGGTGTAAATCGTAAAAAGTAATAGAGGCAGCAAAAAGGTGATATTTAATTAGAATTAGAAATGATGCATCTCACAAGTACGTATAATTTTCATATTTAAAAATCAAACATTAAATGTCATTGTTTTTGCCTTACACAATACACATCTACTTTTTTAACCTTAACCTTCTTTATCTCGAAGATGAAGCAGTTATCCCTGACTATAAAATAGGCAAATACTATTTCGTAACGAGGCGACCGTGTTCTAATCCATTAAAACAATTTAACGGTGTTGTTTAAACATTTATCCGCTGAATTCCCGGTAACTGCATAATAATAGTCAATATCAGCTAAAGATAAATCATTCAGTCACCAGAAATAACATCCAATAACATTGTTTGTTTACATTCTTCCATAGTTATAGGTAACCACAGTAACATCATGATATGATACAGGTAATCCCAGTCATATGATAACTTGAAATTTAAATGGGATATACAGGGTGTCTCAAACTCGATAGTATAGGCCTATTGTAAGGATATAAAAAATTTAAATAAAATTTGGGACACGTGGTGTTAAATGGGATGAGGTAAGCTCCATTTTCAATCGAAAGTATGTATTATCTTTGGAATTTGACAGAAACGACTAATGACGTAAGTATATTTTTTCCAGAAACATAATTCTTTTCCTGTTAAAAAGCTCTCTTTTTTCTAATAAACTTTTATCAGATAAATTTTTCTGTATTACTTCCCGTTTAAAAGTTATAAGCAATATCATCCTAAAGAGTGTACAAATCACATTAGGGGTGGAAGGATGAAGTAGTCGTTGGAAAACAATTGAATGTTCATTGTTTAAAGTGCATAAATGTAACAAAGTACTTGTTATTACACAATAGTCTCAATACGAACCTCAAACGTATAACTTTTGGGCTTACAAAATGTTTTTTCATTCAGAAAAAGTTGATATGTTGCTAATTTACGGCAAATCACAAAAAAAATTCAAGAAGAGCTGTAGAGTTATATCGAGAAAGGTATCCAAAGCGCCTCATTCCCGATCATAGAACCTTTACAAGATTGGAGACGACCT